AATTTTAGGTAAAGAATTGTAATAAATGTTAAATAAATTCAAATACGAGATAAAATTATATATTAAATATAATATTTAAAATAATACAATTAACATAATAATAGAGGTTTTAATTAAATAAATCCTTCGGGTGGGAGGTATAAGGTGTTATATTAATATAATTTTTTTTTTTTTATTAAAAATTTTAGATTGAAGAAAATGTAGAAATATATAAAAATTAGATGAAGTAATTTAAATTAGCAAAATTCAATTATATAATTATATGTATAACAATAAGAGTTTAAATATAATAAGTATAATGCTTTTATTCAGAATATTTTTTTTTTTAAGATTGAATTTTATACTAACAATCTTAAATCTATAATAATTTAAAATACAAAAATTAGTTTTTTCTGTGAAAACAAAACTTCTTCAACCATACATTTTCTGGTATTGTGGAGATAATTTCAAAAATTATTTGAATAGAAAGAAATGTTGAAATTGAATTCACTACTCAGAGTTTTTGACAAAATACTGTGTTGTAATATTTTATATCAATTAATTAGAGTAAAAACGATGTGACAATTATAATTTATAGATTTCATTTCAATAAAGAGTGATATTAATAGTGACTAATAATTGATTTATGACTGAAACGTGTATAATATGATTAAACAGTATACGTATATTAAATATTTCTCTGTGTTATTTATTTAAATGTTTTGGTCGAAATAAATCATATTTTTCTAAGATTATGAATATAATGTATAAATAGAAGTGTTGAATTTAATAGAAATAAGGTCAAGCACAACGATTTTTGATTGCCGCTCTCAAGTGCTCGTAGAGATACACTGACGGATAAATGGGTACACTTAATATCCGAAAAATTAAAAAGGAAACCTAACGCTTAGTGTGACATGCGTTTATCTCGGCATTATAGACATTTGTTTAAATTTTAAAATAAATTAAACATTTTAAATTAGTTTAAAAATTGTATGTCTACGCTTTAATTTGTCAAAACTAAAACAAAATTTGACATATTTAGAATTAGGAATGCCCATAATAATTTATTATCTTTTTATGAAAAATGTACATAACGTATAAGCACACACGTCATAGGTGCAAATAATGTTTTTAATTTTTGGGTGCTTAAGTTCCAAAGGCCAAAAAAATTTTCTCGCTCCGCTACAAGTAATGCATCCATCCTTAGTTTTATCTATTTATAAATAATCATTAACATTATGCAATACATACATTTATTCCCGATAACTTTATTATTTCAACTATAATTGCTGAAACCAAAACATATTGTTATGTTAAAGTAAATAACACATTCTACACCGACGACAATGTGCATACAGTATTACGAAACAAGATTAAGAAAAAACAGTAATTATTTTTATATAAACGATATTATAAGAAATTAATTTTCTTACAAGTTAAAAAAATGGCAAATTCTAATTGATGTACTAAGTAAGCAAAGCATTCCCCTATTTACGTCATTTATACCCTTAGAACTTAAGGGTATAAACTTAATTCTGCAGGTACCTCTATTTGTAAATAATTTCATGCATTTCATTAAATTTTTTTCACTAAATGTTACAAATTTCAAATAAAAATATTTTTTAATTATAAAATAGTTACTATTTTTCTAATTGATATATTCATATATCTTATAAGAAAATTAATTTAATCAACTTTCATTTTATTAATTTTTTAATAAGCTAATTATGCTAATTTAATATGCTTAAATATTAAAATTAGCATAAAATATGCATCTATAAAAAAAAATTATATTGATTTGGTAATATTTGAAAAAGTTATGGCAGTTTTAAGAAAAAAAATTGAAAAAATTTCGAAATTTAGTGAATTTTAAATTTGTAATTTTTTTGGAGATTTCCCCCATATACGGGGAACGAGGGAAATTTTTTCAATTTTTGAGGGTAATGTCTTCGACTAGATACGATTTGTGATCTTTTGACGTATTATTGAAAGAAATCGGTTTGGTGAGAGCTGAGAAAAAGTGGTAACAGACACAAAAAAAAAACACACCAAATTAAAACTAATACCTTCTCAACTTCGCTTCGAAGCTAAAAAAAATCATTCAATTAAGGGTTAATAATACTTAATAATTAGTTTAATTGATTTATGAATTTATATGACATAAAAAGTTGAATTTGAAATTTATACAAAAGTAATTATAATTTTTGATTATAAAATAGGGCAATTTATATATTAGTCATTAAAATATTATGGTAATTAGATAATCTGAATATCCTTTTATAATTACCTACAAACAAGACAAATTAGTTTTTATTTACATTTTAATCGAAATTTTTGTTAAATGTCTTTCATATTACCTAGACAAAAATTAAGTTATGAATATATTTAAACCTTATTGAAAATCAATGAGGTTACTTTCATCTGAAATTTAGTGAACTTATTTTTATCTTAGATAGATTTCTTGTTTGTTATATATTTTAAATACTTCTAAATGTATACAAGCGTTTCTTATTTTCAAAATGGCATGACTAAGTCTTATAAATTTTGACGATAAGAAAAAAAAATTGGCGAAGAAACTTTTTTTTCGTTTTGATAGTATACTGAAAACTTTCTTTATGTATATTTTCTATACAAATAAAAATATTGCAACTATAAATTAGTGTACAACTGTACACAAATTCTTTATGGAATTTTTTTAATTACGCCTCAAATATACTAGTTATACTAGTTTTCCACATGTATGTAAAATTGCTTGTTTTAATCTCCGTAGTATTATACAGGGTGATTTTTTTATCATAACCCACTCAATTACTTGCAGAATAATAATAATTTAAACATTTTTTTTTTTTATTATCTTTAGTTACACATTATTCTTGAATTTTTAACTATGTAATACTTTTTAAGTTCATCCCTTATGCCTTGGAGGGGGGTCAACTTTGTTTTTTTAAATGGTAACACATATTTTTAATTTAATAAAATGTTTGAGTTTTTAATTTAATAGTAAATGGCATTTGAATTTTTAATATAACTTTATTAGCTTATTAGATATAAACATTTAAAGTTTCAAAATTTTGAGTTAATATACATGTATAATACACATGGGATTGTAAATACAGGTAGCTAATTGGATTTTTATGACATTGCTGTCTCAGTCACGGATTGTTTATTATCAATTATGATTATCAATAGATATACTTTCTGTATTGTCAGTTAGTGTATTTATAAACTCATAACAATGTGCCTTACTACAATTGATAATAACAATGCTGTGTACCTGCTAATATCGATGTTATAAAAAACCAATTAGCTACCTGTATTTGTAATCCCTTGTGTATTATACCTGTATATTAATTCAAAAATTTGAAACTTTAAATGATTATATCTAATAAACGAATTAAGTTATATTAAAAATTCAAATGCCATTTACTATTAAATTAAAAACTCAAACATTTTATTAAATTAAAAATATGTGTTACCATTTAAAAAAACAAAGTTGACCCCCTTCCAAGGCATAAGGGATGAACTTAAAAAGTATTACATAGTTAAAAATTCAAGAATAATGTGTAACTAAAGATAATAAAAAAAAAAAATGTTTAAATTATTATTATTCTGCAAGTAATTGAGTGGGTTATGATAAAAAAATCACCCTGTATATACTAATTTAAGTGTTACCTGTATAATTACAACAATACAAAAACAATGAAAATAAATAAAACATTTAATGGTTCTTTACAATTCTTGTAGGGACAAAGGCATACTACCAACTATATTTATTTTTATATGTATAATTGCGATCAGAGAGGATGATAGTATGCATGAATTCTTACTGATCTATCGATGTTCATCAGAACTTTAATTTGTCTAATTAAAATAATTATTGTAAATGTAAACACTAATTTATTTCTAATTTTGTTTTTTCTATGGTCATCTTTCAACGTTATTTATATGAATTTGTGAATGAGCTTAAAACGTTTTTTTGAAGAAGCCTGTAAAATTAGTAAGTGTGATGAAAACAGAAAAATGAACGTGGAATTTTATGTTGTTACAAATGCTAATAAAATTTCAGAATAATTATTACATATATCAGTTCGATTATTTTTTATGTTAGATAACATAAAATTTCTTGTTTTTTTTTATTTAATATAACTAAGAAAATTTGTTAATTTATGAACAAAAAAACATACATGCAAAAAAAATTAAAAAAAAAAAAAAATACGTTTTTGTAGTTGTTTTAAATTTTTATTTGGAAAGGATTCATAATTCGAAAAAAACTCAAATAACGTTTTTTATAGAAGATATCACTGTGATAAATATTACTTCTGTACAATTTCTGCGTACAATTAAAATTTAAGACACTAGAAAAGTATAACTGAAAACTATGTCATTTTTTTAAAAAAATTAAGTGAAACTGATTTTTCTTATTTTTACGAAAAAATATTAATTTTACAAAAAAATAGTATATTACCTTATTTTTTGTTGACATTGAGTTCTATAAAAATTGTTCTTTGTGTTTTTGGCGAAACTTCAAAAATAAAGAGCGTACACTCAAAAAAAGATAATCCATCCCATTTTTGAAGAACTTCAACCCCTTTGAGGCACGTGAAGGGGTTGACTTATTGTACTCAAATTTTACCAGTTTCATTTTTTCAGTGAACCTAACGAAATTTTGAGCCCATGACTCTGAATTTCTTAAAAAATATTTTTTATTCTATAACTAAGGACCACCCTATATATATATATATATATAATTAATTATATATTATATATATATACATTAGTTTTTTATAAACGAGTGATTAAGCACTTGTTGCTTTATCATAGAAAATAAAATGTATTATTGCAAAAACACAAATCTTGTTTAATTTAATGTGAAATTAAAAAATAAAAATTTTAAATTCTTTATAAGAATATGTTATTATTTTAACTTATACTTTCTGTTGGGTTAAAACACCATTCTTCATTCAAAAGTATGCATATTTTTAAATAAATATTTGTTCAAATACCAACTAATAAAAAAATTAAAAATAACAAGTATACCTGTATTTTAGAATAATAAATTTTATATCACATAAATATAGTTTACATACACATATTGCACAGTAAAAAAAAACAAATTATGTAGTCATTAAAACAATAAAAAATTTCTTGAGAATGTTAACACGAGCTGGGTTTTAACTCCTGAAAAAAATTTAAAAGAAATTTAAATTTTACAAGCTGTTTTAAAATAGATTTGAAAAAAATATCATTTTTTTTTAAATTATCTTCAGTAGTAATATCATTATACAATTATAGATATATAACTAACTATAACTTGTGTCCCCAAATCAAATACAAACTTCAAAAGAAAATTATCCAACTCAAATTGAATACATTAAGTTAAAACAGGATGTTTTAATTTAATCCCACCTGTAAATATTTTTAAGCTGACAATTAAATAAAAATCATGTTTTATTTTATCTCTTTAAAAATGTTTTAATATAAATTAGACAATTGAATAGTTCATTATATCTTTTAATATACTATATAAATGTTAAAAAGCTAACAGTAAATATTACATTCTTGTATGCTTCATTTAATTTCCTTAATTTTTAAATAAAGATTAAGTAATTGAAAATTAAAATTCTACAGTTAATTCTGATACACTTTATATACTATTTATATAATAGAACATATCAATATTTGTTAATTTTTATCATGAAGGCAGAACAAAAAGTAATGCTCAAACAAACATTGCTTGCTATAAAAAACATAAAGTTGATTGACAATTAATCAAAATGCATTCCAAAGCATATATTATATATTAGTATGTCTGAATCAAATATGAGAATATTTGACATATATAAGAGAAATATAACATATACATATATATTCACCTTTTGTTTTTACAGTTTTATAATGACTTGCCTAACATTGAAAATTTAGACAAAAATTCTTTTATACCAAATAAAATTTGAGTTGTTCTACACATATTAGATGTCCTATTTTGTTGAAGGCCTCTTGTAGCAAGAGTATAAACAACAATTCCATTATTTTCAAAAGAACTGTTTAAATTAAAAGTGACCTAGAGTCTGGCTGATGGCATGTGGCTTGGGAGACTGTGTATTTCAACTGTGGTGATGTTTGAGATGAGAATAAAAGATTTTCCAATTAATGAGATTTGATATGACCAAAAAAAGTTAAAAATATAAAAAAGAATTTTTTTACAAAAATTGATTAACTTTAATGTCTGTTTTCACCATGAAAACAAAATAAAGTACAACATTTTTTTTCTTTCAAATTACAATATATTACATAGGCTTTAGTTTAAGATATATATAAAAGTGTCAGTATTTTCAGAACACTTTCAAAAGTTGTCATTTTGAATCCCCCCTGTGGATAGGTAAAGGGTTAGATTTATAAAAAAATTAACATTATACATCTATAAAAAAAAAATTATATTGATTTGGTAATTTTTGAAAAAGTTATGGCAGTTTTAAATAAAAAAAACCCAGCACAGGGGGGTCGCGGCACAGTGGTGACGTGACATAGTTGGATCAAGTATAATGATATCTGATAGTGATTAAAATCACTATCAAAATAAAACGCTTCGATGCAAATCTTTAGATAGTGTTTAATTTTAAAAAATTGATGTATTATTCCAAAAGCTACATGATCTGCTAGTTCCTTATTAATATCCTGATTAAGATAAAGTATGTCAAATAAATAAGGGATTATAAAAAAATATTATTTTTCATAAAAAAATTGTGTTAATCCATACACTTTTCAATAAATTATAACATTATAAAGTTAAAAATGTAAAAAATAAAATCGAAAATTTTCACACAGAAATAGCATTTGGTAGCCATTTTCACAAAGAAGACAAGTCTAGAGGTCAATTTTTTTTTTCCATAATAAAGTACATTACATACATACAAATCTTTAATATAAGATACATAAAAAAGTGTTAGACCTTTTATTATATTTTCAAAAGTTAAGTTGAAAAAGTTGTCATTTTAAATTCCCCCACTGGGGGCAGGTTAAGTGTCAAATTTACAAAAAAAATATACCAAATGTTAGGTAAAGACATCAAGCATCTATGAAAAAAAAATTATATTGATATGTTCATTTTTGAAAAAGTTATAGCATTATTAAATTAAAAATATAAAACAAAATTATTTTACAAAAATCGTAATTTTTTATTAACTTTATTGTCTATTTTCACCACGAAGACAAGTCCAGAGGTCAAATTTTTTTTTTTCAAATTAAAGTATAATACATTAGCTTTAATTTAAGATTTATATAAATGTGTCAGACCTTCCGGAACACTTTCAAAAGTTAAGTTGATAAAGTTCTACTTTCTATATGCATTTTTTATATTTGAAGCCCCCTTGTATATAGGGAAATAGTCTGATTAAAAAAAAAAGTATATCCAATGAAAGATGTATATAAATACTACTTCTCATGAAAAAATTGTATTGATCCATACATTTTTTGAAAAGTTATAGCACTTTAAAATAAAAAATGTCAATTATAAAATCGAAAATTTTCACACAAAAATAGCATTCGGTAGCCGTTTTCACCATGAAGACAAGTCCAGAGGTCAAATTTTTTTTTTTAATAATAAAGTACATTACATTAGCTTTAATTTAAGATATATATATAAGTGTCAGACCTTCCGGAACATTTTCAAAAATTAGGTTGAAAAAGTTGTCATTTTAAATCCCCCCTGTGGGCTGGTAAAGGGTTAAATTTATAAAAAAAATATATTAAATGATAGATAGGTAAAGATATCAATCATCTATAAAAAATAAAATTATATTGATTTGTTCATTTTTGAAAAAGTTATGGCAGTTTTAAGTAAAAGAAATTAAAAAAATTTCGAATATTAGCGATTTTTAAATTTGTAATTTTTTTGGAGGTTTCCCCCATTTACGGGGAGCGAGGGAAATATTTTCAATTTTTGAGAGTAATGTCTTCAACTAGATACGATTTGTGATCTTTTGGCGTATCGTTGAAAGAACTCGGTTCGATGAGAGCTGAGAAAAAGTGGTAACAGAGACAAAAAAAAAACATCATAGTAAAACTAATACCTTCTCAACTTCGCATCGAAGCTAAAAAATAAAAAATAATAAAAAAAAACAAATAATAGTAAAATTAATATCTTTTCAGCTTTGCATCGAAGCTAAAAAAAAGGTTATGTAATCACTACAAACGTCTAATAATAAATTATGAATTTGGGTAAGGATAAGACTTTCTAAATTTTCAATTTTTATTAAAGAATATTTGTCTACATTTATTATGAGTCGAGATCATGAGCTATAAAAAAATAAACATAGGTTACTCATATGTGTTCAAATATTTGACTCAGATATACTAATATGTACAGTAAGTATTGAGAACATTTTGAAATAATATTAATAATATACAATATACAATCGATAAACGATATAATATAAATAATATACAATCACTTTTATTTTAACTATAGTGAAAAATGAGTGTTTGTGCATTACTTTTGATCCTAACAATCTATTTTTGTTTAATGAAAAACATATAAAAGTAACATGCAAATAATGACTTACATACTAATAAATAAAAAGCTATGCAAGAATCATTACTTACAGATGGAAAATATTTACACACCATTCCCCAAAAATCTTTTAAAACTGATGCCTGCCTTGGTTGTTTCTAAAAATATAACATAATGTCTCAAAAAAAAAGAAGGAAAATTGCATATTAATAATATACAAAAAAATATTACTTCATTGATAAGAATTGTAGGTATAAAAGAAACTTCAGGCCATAGTTTGTTGGTTTCATCCCCATTTAATTTTAAAAGTTGTTCACCTTCTTTCCCTTCTGAACAGCTATATATTTTATTCCAATTAACATTGAAATTTTTAGCACACTAAAATTAGTTATATACATATAAATATTCTATGATTATTTTACAGCATAAAAAGTATTAAATATCAGTTTTTTAAAGATATTACCATTTGTATAGCAGAATGGGAAGAGTTTGTCAATTCATAAATGCCTAGAGATAAAAATTAACAGACCCACTCTTTAATTCCAATCATTATATTAAAATATTAATAACTACCAAAAAATTGGTTTAAAAGTCGTTAACAACCGGCTATTATTTTAGTTTAACATTTTTCTTATTTGTAAGTTAGTAATACATATTTTTACTAAAAAACTATAGTTGACAATATTTTAGGGGAAGGAAGAGAGAATAGGATTAAATTTTCTATTAAAAATTATTTAATGTTATATATTTTTAAAGATATTGTGTATATTAAAACAATTATCCTGTCATATATTTAATTTAAAAGTTTCTCAACATTTAATATTTTTAGAAAATTAAAGATTTTTTTTTCTTATGTATCTTTTAGAAATATTTCAGCATTGATTACATGGACATTTGCATGGGAGTATATGAGAGATACAACCCTTAATGATGAATATATATGATTAAAATATATCTTGAAGAAGGTAAACATTTTTTAAGTATATCGCACCTAAGAAAAACTCTGAGAGGCTTTTGGTTAAATACATACTTGCCAATATGTATTTAACGTTATTAATGATAACATAGTTGTGAAAAATACATATCCGGTTTTTTACTTAAACAATTTTTGTGGATATTACAATTCAGTATCTAATAAGAAAAAATACAAAAATTATTTTTTTGAAATTTAAAAAAAGCTATTTTTTAACTTTTTTAAAGCACACTACATATCCACTCAATGTATTAAAATGCTTATAACTCAATAAATATTTATCCTGAAGTTATTATTGATTAACCCATAAACATTATTTGTAAGAAAAGTCCATTAATTTTTGCTATTAAACTATATTAATAGATTAATTAGTATAGCTACATATATCATCGTTTAAGAAAATAAAATTTTTACTATGAACTTTAATTATCAAGAAAATTATAGATAAAAATTATTGCAACATAAATCAGACTATAATTCTAGAATCCAAATACATAATTGATGAATTCAAGGATTAAAAACAAATACTCAAAAGAAAATTTGAAAGTGAGGAAAATCAATTTATCCCTCCCGATTTTTAAGATAAATTTATGTCAATGCAGCTCGTACTGGTATATGAGCATACCACTCTATGTATTAAAATACTTGTAACTCATCCTAAAGTTGTTATTGACATATCAACATTTGTTTTAAAAAGAGAGTTAAAGAATTAAAAATAAAACAAATTAATTTTAATTTTTTCTTATTAGAGACAAATATAAAAAAATATTCTTTTAACATTATCTAAAACTGAAAAAATATTTTAAAAAAAATTTGACACAAAATATTTGCTAGATCAAAAATGATTAAAGATGTCAAAATGTAAACTAGATAAAATAGAACTTATACATAAAAATAAGGTGTTAAAAATCAGTAATACAGAATATTTACCAATAAAATAAATATATAAATTCAAATATACATTAAAAATATTAGATTTTACTATTTATATCTGAAAAATATTTACTAGTATTCCAATTTTTTCAGGTTCCGAGTTATCATCGATCATACAAGATAAATAATTTATCAGTACACTACCATCTTTTATATGCTGTACAGCACACGAATGTATCTTGTTAGCATGACATTCTAATGGGCCATGTTGGCATGCAAAAGTAAATGTACCATCAGAATTTTCTTCAGTCTATTCCAATTAAAAACAATAAAACATTAAATTGTTCATTATCAAACATTATCTACAAATATAAATTATCTAAAAATAATAAAAATGAACTAAGGTGGAATAAGGTCAGTAATTTTAAAAAGGCACAATTAAAAAAATCATAAGGTTAGATTATATTATTTCTTATTTAAAAGATATATATATAGGATACTTAAATATTCTCTCTTATTATTTTAATCAAGTTTCATTAATAAATGTTTGTATATAAAATACGCTTATATCAACTTTTTCTATTTTTAACAGAAATAATAAGCATGCAAATTTTTTATTTAAAAAAATGATTGATCTGGATACAAACAAAGTAAATCTATTATTCAAATTGTTTAAAAGTTAATAAAATTAGAAATATTTGAGAAGTTTGAAGACAGTTATGTGAAATTAAAAAAAAAAAATTAACATGAATTATGAATCTTGTTTAAATTATGCAAATCAAGATACAGTTATCCAAATTAATTTTTTTTAATACTTAATTGAAAATAATTTATCATATATTCACAAAAAAAATTTATACATTTTCACACAACTCATTCTTTCTAATTTTGTGACTTACGTTGTTATTTAAATAAGTGGTTCAGTTGTAATTATTTCATTTTCAAACAGATTTACAAGATTTATAATTTAATTCATGTAATTGTCAAAATCTGAATTTAAAAAAAAAATGGAGACATTATTTTGCATTAAATCCATTAATATATTTAATTTTGTTAAAAAAACTAATAATTTTTAAGATTTTTTAATTTTTAACATTTCAATTATTTACTTAAAATATTAACCAAATCAATTAAAGTATTTATTTTTAAAAAGTTAAATATTCTTACAATTTAAAAAGAATATTGAATAAAGCTTTTCCATTTTAAAGAAATTATTTAAGTTGAAAAATATAACTATCATACTTTTTTCTTACTTTAGCTTTTCCATATGGTACAAATTTTATTTTGAAGTAGTTTGGAGCTTTGTTGTATGATGGAAGTAAATGTCTAATAAAAAAATTCCTTGAATCAGGACATAAAGCTTCATAATAAACACTTACTGGTAAATAGTAAGACTTAGTTTGATTGTAACTATTAATTGAATAATTTTTTTTTGATTCTAATAATGTAGTATGAGATATCTGTAAATAAGTAATCCATATGCAACCATTAAAATTTAAGTAATAAATAAAAAAAAAATAGATTTAAGTCAAATCCTCATAAAATACTGTTTTTTTCAAATAAGAATAGATAATTTTTTAATAATTAATACATTTAAATTAAATATACCAATAATAAACATTAAATTATAAATAGAGAGCATATTTACTAGCATAAATAACATTTTAATTGAAGGAGTTACAAGTATAGAATAAAAATGTGTATTAATTTAGCTTAAAGCTCTATTTTACTTTAAATATTTTTAATTTTAGCATACTTGTCAAGTATAAACAACAACAATTTTTATCTCAAAATAATAAAATAATTTACCATAATTTAGAAAGGTTTATTCCCTCAGATTAAAAAAATCTTTTATATTAACTGTAGCAAATTTTGTGATTTTTAATTTGATTATTAAAAGTTATAGTTACATGTAAGTTCATGTAAGCTCTGATTAACAATTAAAGTTAAGTTTTATGTTGTGTTTCAAAATTACCTGATTTTCATTATTAAATAAAAATGTTGTGATTTTTATAAGTTGCCAAATACAAAATAGAAGAACTAATATAAAACAATAGCGAAATGTTGATGATGAAAAAATATATCTCTCCTTTGAATTTTTTTGATACATATTGTAAGTAAACTATAGACTAATTGCATTTATTTCAGTAATTTATAAATTACTAAAATATATTTCTTAAAATGAATAGCTAACTTCAGTTAAACAAAAACGTATAGTGTGGTTAAAAATCAATAATTTGAGCAATACTAAGTATACCTATACGATAAAAATATAATAGAAAAAATATAAAAAAAGTTAATAAAAACACTAAAAATTTATCAATTCTTCAAAGTTTGATTCACTTGACCAATGTGTAATTTTTTCGTTGATTGCAGCTAATCAAATGTAAGGTATTGAAACTATGAGTAATAGATATTTATTTCTAAATGGAAAATATATCATGTCTTATAAAGAAAATGTAACTTTTAGTTGAATCATTGCAATTTCTGTTATCATATTTCAAATTTAGTGTAATCATCATCATCTAAGAATACATAATTCAAATATTTCAATAATTTAAGAAAAATCAATCCTAAAATTTAAGAGACAAGCATTATCATTTCTCTAATCAGTAGATTTCATTTTGGGTAGGCACATTTGAACTTTGATACCACTACACTCATCATCGAATGAAACAATTTTATAGATTATTAATAACTATAAATTTGGAAATGTAAAAAGCTCATTCAATAGTTGAAGTATTCAGATTTTAGTTGTAAGAAATAAAAAATAAATAATTATAGCACTCTTAAAATGTAACGGACGAAAGAAACGAGGTCCCTGATACTTTAAGAACGCATTGTTTATAATATTTCCGTTTACAACATCAAAAACAACTTGGCGTAACATTGCTCTTTCCCGTAATTTTGTGAAAACAGTTCTGTCGATTTTGGACGTTAGTTAATAATTTTTCGCAGTTATTAAGGAAAACTTCTTTTAATTATTAGGGCATATTTTGAATTTACAGTTAATATTTGTTCTCATCATGAAGTTAGTTAAGTAAGTTTTATTTTATTAAATATATATTATATCCTTATTGGTTATTTAAAAACATGGCTAATGCTCATTTAATATTGCCGGTATTTTAATTGAAAATAACAAATAGAAATTAATTGTTCATGATATCTTGATATATATGTAGATTAGTTTTTTTTTGCTAAATAGATAATCCTAATAATAACATTATTTTTGAATATTTTTCTTTTCTTAAGATTAATTGCCTCTTATTTATTTTGCATTGTTTAACAATTATACAATGAAATTACTTTCATTTACATGGTTAAGAATTAACATACATATTATAAATACTGTGTTCAGTGTTGCGTGATAATTTAGCTTGAATTGCAAGTTACAGTAACATAACTACTTAGAAAGTGATTTTAGTGTAATTTAATTATTAAAATAAAAAGTAATTTTATTTTAATCTCAATTAATTATTCAATGGTAATTTTGAAAAATTACTTGTTATTTTATTTTGAACATTATATTTTAAAAATTTGCACTATCTTTTAATAGTTTATTGAGAATTTTATACTGCGGGTTTAACATAAAAAAAAATTTTTACCTCTTAATTTGTCAAAATATCTTTTAAGTCTTTTCTCCCGAGTAAGGGTTATTTCTAGCAATTTTCCTGTAATTATGCCTGAAGGTAATATTCAAGACTCAAACAATACTATTCAATTGAATTATGTTTATTTCTTATTATATACATTTATTTTAAATTAATTTTATTTTTATATTTTTAATTTACATTATAATTAATTGAATTTAGTGAAACTGGCGGCATTTTTAAAAATACAATTTAATATGCCCCCTTCATATGCTATGCTAAATAATAATAATAATTTTTTTTGCTTATAATTGGCTCAAAATAAGTAAAAAAATGATCATTAAAAGTTTTCATGATAGCATGTCAGTTAAAAATTTTATTATGTCATTAGAATTATTACTGGTATAAGTGATTTCATCCAAATAAATTTCATATTTAATATTTTAAAAAAAAGTAATGCAACTTCATTACTTGTTATATTGAATCATTTTTAAGTAGTTTAATTTCTAATCAGTTGAGTAATTTAAAATTAAATTTAATAACCAAAAAAAGTAATTTACCCAACACTGCCTGAGTCTAGTAGTTAATAAGTTGTGCCCTCAGATGTATATTACAAGTTGTAATATAATTAGTTATAGTATATATCTGTGGTTGTGTCATAATGTACCATAATTGTATATAATAGTACTATGGAAGTAGCTTGCAAATGTTAAAATGTATTTAAAATTATTTTCAAAATACTTGGAATATTAAAAAAGTAATCAAATATATAACATGTATGAAAATTAATCATATAGATTCAGTGGTGCCGGAACTTTGGTGCAAGGGGGGCAGTTTCCCCCTTGGTTAAAATACAAAGGGTGGCAAAAGTATCATTATGCCCCCCAATAGAATCTGACAAAAAAAAATTACAAAGAATCTGGAAATTAATATAACACTACCATACTTAATTATTTAGCTATTCATATTTTAGGATTAAAAAATGTTAATGAATCTCCAGTTGAATATCAAAAAAAGGGTAGTTTTTAAAAAAGTTTTAAGCACCAAAATAACATTGATTTTTTACATGAAAATTACATTTCTGGTCATTTGCACATATAAGATAGGTTGTCAGGAAATTTTTTTTTTTTTATCTTATAGTACATAATGTAAGCTTTAATTTAACATATGTTTAAAAGACGCAGTATTTCCGGAACATTTTCAAAAGTTAAGTTGAAAAAGTTGAATTTTATAAAAAAAAGTTGCTATTTTAAAACCCCTTTTGTGGTCAGGTAAAGGATCAGATTTTCAAAAATATTATATTAAATAAAATGGAAATGCATAAGGTTTCAATATAAAAAATTATTTTGATTTGTTCATTTTTAATAAGTTATTAAACTTTTAAAAAAAAAAAGTCGATATTTACCGATTTTAAAAGTCATAATTTTTAGGGAATTTCATCATTTACGGGGAACAAAGGAAAAATTTTCAATTTTTTAGGGTAATTTCTTCAACTAGATACGATTTATGATCTTTTGACGTAAATGAATAAACACATAGTAAAATTTATAAATTGCCGAATTTTTTTTATATGATTACTAAAATCCACCAAAAAATAGCTTAACCTGCTTTTTAGCTTAGTAACAATCAAGGGGCCTAGTTTTAGTCATTAAATTTTTGCCCCCATGTAAAAAATAGTTCTGGCGCTCCTGTATAGATTGACATTTAAGTCAATCCTTTTTATTAAAATTATAACATCATAATAATAATAAAATTCATTGTAATTATTATTATTATAATCTATATTATATTATATATTAATTATTAGTTAATTTAATAAATTGATATAATTTTAAAAATTTCATGTATTGTGTTATAATTATTAAAATAATTTAATGTTTTTAGATTTTTAATGAAACTCAGCCATGAAACAGTAACTTTAGAATTGAAAAATGGAACTAGTGTTCATGGAACTATCACAGGTATTATGCTTAAGATACTATGTAGGGTTGAATAAATTAAGCTATAGTAACTCAAAAATGAAATATTAAATTAAAAATTATTTTGGGTACTATGATAAAAATGATATTATAAAATAATATAAAATTAGTTACTGGTTAGTCTTGCATGACTATGAGAATGATTGAGTTACTATGTATTTATTGAATAAAATGATATAATATAATTTTTCTCTCAGGGTATGCGTACGAGGGTTTTATGAGTAGATGTACAATATAAAAAAACAAAGTGATGTTTGACACATTTATTAATATAATAATAGTTTGAAATAGAAATTATTGTGATTAATTATCTCACATAAAGTATTAATAATGCCACTCATACCAGTAGTTATATAAGCTTGTGCTGACTGTGAGTCGTGTCAATAAATGCCTTGAGTATTATAGGAACCACAAGTGTGTTCTCTATCTTCACAAGAGAGTCTTTATTTGTATTGACCACACAGGTAACCCACTCAAAGATTGGACTAAGCTAGTTAACTTTGTACAAACGTTATCAATTTTATTTATTTAAACAATATTTTATTCTAGTGATCATTTAATTTTTCTATTTCCCTACTTAATTTATGTATTTATTATATTTAACTTTAAACCTTATAAATATTCTGTGAAATGTAAGTTTACCTTAGTAACGTTGAAAGCAAGGTTGAAAATAAATATACTTCGATTTTTTTGGGAAATTATAAAATTTGCCAAGCCACTTCTTGCACTTGTTAAAAGATCATAAAATCAAAGAGCAGTGACTCGAATTGACAGTTTTTGTGCCCTTTTACTATTATATGTTAATTATTCGATTGTGTTAGTTATTACACATTATTTTGCTTAAAATTTATGGTTTGTCACAACTAAAAAATTCCTTATAGTTATTACATTAGACTTGTATCAATGCATTTTTATACATGATAAAGTACATTTTTATACATGAATTGGTACCTTGTTTCCCTCAGCCGCACATCATGTTATCAACCTAAATGAAAGTGTATTGGGATCTGAATCAAAAGTGCACGGTAGCTTAGTGGTAAGGTTTGTCTCTGCGACACCTTGGTTCATAGGCTCTAATTCCGTACCGTGCCTCTTTTTCTCACACAAAATCCGGTATACTTTCTATAACTGGCCATCAATCCTCGTCGGCCGTGTTGTATATATCTCTCAGAATAGTTTAAAAGATTGATATCAATAATATATATTTAATTTGATGACTAATAGCCAATGAATTATAGACTATTGAATAATAAGTGGAGTATGTATTATAACAAAGCATTTTCTAGATTATAACTTGACCAAAAAAAAAATTAAGAAAAGAATATTTTAGATAGTAATAAATTGAAGAGCTCATCACTATAACCAAATAAATCCATCTATTAAAAGTTTTCATAAGAATTAAAGAACAAATTTGTTTTATATTACAAAGTAGTAAACAATATGAGTTCTTTATTGTTATATCATCTTGGAAATTTATAGAACATGACTGTTTTATGCACCCTTTTGTGTATTAGTTTTGTTCTGTTTAATATACATTTAAAAAAAAATCAACTTTTTACTTGTTATACTAAGATTTTCAATTTTAAACTAACAAATAAATTTCTCCCATGTTTTGGTTTATATGGTAAAATATTATTATACTATTACCTCAATGCTAAAAATAGTAATAACATCACATATTTCAATAATTATTTTATAAGTAATTTTTATTTTTATTTTTAAATCAAAACTAATTTGAAAAAAATAATTTAATTTAAAACTTTTATTAACTATACTTTAAATTAAGAAATTTTACCATTTTAAGATACCATTTAATTAATATGTAAGATATTAGACAAATAAATGTTGATATGTATATATAATTTATGAAAATTTTATATTGTATGTGTCATATTTTTTGTTCCGCTATCAATAAATTGTTATTTAGTAAGTTATATTTATGAATTTTATAAAATTGTTTTGTATTTTTGGTTTCCTAAAATTTAACAAAAATTTAATCATCATACTTTATTTTTGATTAGTAATATATTGAAAACCTTAATAAAAATGAATTTATTTTTAACTCTTCGTAAATTACACAAATTTTATTATAGCATAATTTTAAAGAATTCAATTTTTCAAGAATACTTTTTTAAATTAAGAAGAAAATTGTTTTCTCATTAAGAACAAATTAATAATTGTGAGGGTATTTGTAAATTTTTGGATTAAATAAGTTTAACCTAAAATTAAATATTTCAAATTCAACATTTAATTAAATATCAATGATAAATATAAAATTATACTATAAAGCCATATCATTGCATTTTTAAAATCTACATTTATATTAGTAGTCCTTGTAGGATTAAATAATTTTAATTGACATTCTTGAAAAATGATAAATCTGACTTACACCACTTCCATTTTATCTCCATGATTTATTCTTATCTGTAAAGTAATACATTTTCAAACTAGTATAGTTTAAAAATGTCTTAAGAATATTTAATAAAAATTTTATACCAATCAGAACACTTAAAAAAGTAATAGCAGTATATTAAGAAAACTTAAAAAAATAATTCATATATAACAACAATTGATCACTTGTAGCTAATAATATTTAAAATTAAAATTATTAATTTAAAACTAAAAAAAGTTTTAGTTTTAATTTTTAATTGATATTTGAATTATATTTTGGTATCTATTCTTATGCATTAAAAATTGAGAGAAGTTTTTTTAACTATCATTATTGTTGAATTCAACCCAACTAGTTATAAATTTTAATTATTTTTCTCTCTCAACTATATTTATTTTTCAATTTCAGGTGTTGATGTTGCAATGAATACTCATTTAAAAGCTGTTAAAATGACTGTAAAAAATCAACAACCTATTCATTATGAAACTTTAAGTATCAGAGGAAATAACATTCGTTACTTTATTTTACCTGATTCTCTTACTCTTGAAACACTATTAGTTGACGATGCACCAAAATCACGAATGAGTAGAGCTGGGAGAGGAAGTCGTGGAGGTATATTATCAAAATTTTATTTGTGTTTATATTTTTTGAATTTGATAATTATAAAGCAAACAAGTGTAATAAAAACATACTTTTTAATTGTTTTATTCTTAATATTATTATTTAATTTGATCAGCATTTATATAGATTTGATAATTGTGTAAAGAATACTGCAAAGGATTGTTGGTGAAAATAGTAGTAGAAAGTCAGGAAACAAGTGAGAGATAACTAATAGAAGAGTTTAAGGAAAAGAAGAAAAGCTGTGTATGGTATTTATAGATTTGGAGAAAGTGTATAATAGAGTACAGAGAGAAGTTTTAAAATGGGCATTAATGAGAAAAAGAGTACTAATAAATTACTTTAATATAATAGAGGTCATGTATGATGGCACTTGTACCATGCTAAAAAGTGTAGGTGGAGTAACAAGATATTAAGGTAAGAAAAGGAGTGCACCAAGATTCTGCTTTTAGGCCTTACTTATTTTCTCTAGTGATGGGGATTAAATTACTAAATAAATACAAGGAGAGGTACCCTGGTGCATGTTGATCGCTGACAATATAGTTTTAATAGGAGAAAATAGGGAGGAAATTAATTAAAAGCTAGAGGTATATCTGTTCTTGAAGGAGAGGGATTAAGAATAAGTAGGAGTAAAACAGAGTATATAGAGTACGAATTTGACAAAGGAGAACACGAGGTAGGTGTAATGAGGAAATTAGTGACAATAAGCGAGGACGTGATAGAAGAGGTGAAAGGTTTAAGTATTTAGGATCAGTTGTACAAAATAACGGTGGTATTGACAAGAATGTAAGACACAGGATTTGGTGTGGGTGGGTGAAGTGGAGAGAATCGTCTGGTGTGTTATGTGATAAGAGAATTTCAATGAGGCTGAAAGGTTAGTTCTATAAGACTGTAGTGAGGCCAGCTATTAATTTAAGTATAAACAATAATGATTAAAAATAAAATTGAATTAGAAAGTTATAACAACTCAAAATGTAGTGATTTTTACAAAAAATAACATTTTTTGTTAAAAATTGTTGACAGACACAAGAAGTAAAAATAAATAACTAAACAGATCATAGTAAAATAAACACCTCATCAAAGTTAAAATGATGCAGCTGATAAAGTTAAAGCAAATTACAATTAAGCGATTGTTAATTTAAAAAAATTATTTTTTTAGGACCTGGACGAGGACGAGGTCGTGGAGGTCCAAGAGGTAGAGGTGGTCGTGGGGGACCTCGCGGAGGCAGTGGCCGAGGACGTGGTGGACCACCCCGCCGCTAAGAATCTGTACAAAAAAATATTTTTTTTAATTGTAAAATAAGATTAAACTTGTATATAATCAAGTTTGAAAATTACTATTTTAATAATAAAGATATTTGAATGTCTTAAATTCATAAAATATCTTGCAATGTATAACTAAAAAAAAAAACGAAAAATTTATTTTAAATGAAAAATAACTTGTATTTTGAGATACTGTGGTATACATGTATAATATATGTTTGTATATATTATATACATACATATTAAATTCTATATAAAAATGAAAGTACTATCTAAATATTTTAAATTTCAATATACATTTAGATAGTATAGAAAAAGTCTAGCATGAAAAATTCTCTAAATTTCTAAAAAAGAAACAATATTATTGACTACTTTAGTGTGAAAAAATAAAAAACCTGGCAATAATTAATTTTAGAATAAGATTTTCAATAAAACCAGTAATAACTCACTATGCTCAATATTTATCTTTTGGTAGTTTTCCTAATTAAAGAATACTATTTTTTATATTAGGTGCCAAATTCAATAAAATTAATTTTTACAGTATGTATGCAACAAATATCAAGTATAAACTACTAAGTGATAATTTTTGAGCATAGGTAATTATTATTGGATTTAAAACTAAATTTTTTTATTTAAGCAATTTAAAGAAATAAGAGGTCATAAAAAATATAAGATGTTAAAGAAATCTTTATTATAATTGTCAATTTTAAACTATATATGTAATTTTGGAAGTGTAATTTTTTTTTAGCCTGACAAACAAAAAAAATAAAACTTTTAAACTTTTTCAAAGTTATTTTGACTATAAAACTATTAGATAATTGCACTAATTTCAGTTTTTACCTTAATATTTGAGTAGAACCTTGAACTATTTTACATTACGATTTTTCTTTATCTTATGTTTTATAAATGAATAACTGTTAATGTACTAGTCATACATGATATTTTGAATATAACATATGACATTCATCATATAAATATTAAATTTTACTGTTATTTTAATAATGTTAGGAATCTTACTAGAAATAAAGTAGGCAATAGTTGTTTATTTATTTATTTAATGTAAAATTTATTTCTGAAAAAGATTTATTTAAAAAAGTTTTTTTTTCTGACATATAATAATTAATAATTAAATTTTATAATTATTATAAATAGAATTAAAAAAATTAATTTTGATATAACCAAAACGTAGAAAAGAAAATCTATATGTTATTTAATACTACCAGAGCTAGTGGTGATCCAATAGGTGAAGATTAGGGGAATAGATCCCTCTTTGATATACTTTTCTGGCATCTAATTTACTGGTTTACTAATCAGTTAAAAACGAGTATTAACATACAAAAAAATGTAGGTCAAAATGAAATTCTACAACGCAACAGCGAACGAAATCATGGGTGAAACTAAGCACGGAATATTTTTGGAATATTGGTATATAATAGAATTTAACTATAGTTATAAACCCTCATTAAATTGTTTATTTAATGATATAAATTTCAAACTTGCAAGTTGAATTTAAAAAAAGGTTAAAAGTTCCACATTTTTTAAGTTAAAAACTTTCATAAAAATCTACTTTAAGGGACCAAAATAAAAGTTTGAACATGAAATTTTGTATAAAAATTATAAAATTGTCAATATATTAAAAATCAATTTTTATATGGAAATTCTTGTTTTTATAAATTAGTAATAATCTCACAAAAAAAAGAAGGTGGAAATGATCTAATTGTAGATTTGAAATCAGTTGAAAAAATGTAGTTTAACAAATTATACTTTGGTCTATGCAGATCGAAAAATGTTCCAATTTAGTGATATGATTTTACTGTGTAAAAGTGAATTTTATATTCTTATTTGTTAAGATATTTAATTGAGAAACGATTTTTCGAAGCTGCCAAATTTTACAGTAGATATTGTTTAGAAAGTGATATATTTCATCATATCTAATACAAAATTGGTATAGTAATGTGCATTTAAAATCATAAATGTGATTAAATTATTGTTACTGTTGTATTACATATAATTTCTCAAAATAAATTTTCAGCAACTAATTAAATTTGTTTGTCTAATATTTCATGACTATATGTTGTACTATAATAAGTTGTATTTTACAAGTAGTCGTTTTTTAATTAATATTATGTACTACCGGAAATTTATTTAATTGCATGTAAATAATAAGTGTTTTAATATTTTAAAGCTTATATCAGATAATCTTCTACAGAGCAATCCTTTGAATTCGTGCGTATTTTAGAGACAAAACCAGTAATATTAATAGAAAAAAAAAGACCTAATTTTACACCAGCTCTTTTAAATTAAATAAGTGGTATTTTAATTAAATGTTAATTTATCAAGTTAAATTGATTCCCTCACTTTTCTTTTTACCTATTTTACATTAGATAGTAGCATATCCATAATAGAAATTATTAATTAATTTTAATACACGGATAATCATCAATATTATTACAATTTAATGTACATCGTACACATTTTATGAAACATATTTTTATAGAACATTTATTAACACAACAGATTTACTATAGTAATTTGTACCATACATAATTATGCTCTTTATATCAATAATGAATAGGCGTACCTACTATTTTGATAGTCCGTAGTTAACTGCGAGCACTCGTCAGATGATATGTTAAAATTGGTAAGTATTTTTACATATACGAGCAATACAAAAAGTTATTCTGAATATTTTTATAACGATTGTTATAAAAATATTAATACAAAATATGTTTGTATTTAAACACATAAATAATATTGTATAACATTTAGCATATCTGTTACATGAATTTTATTTATACCAATTGTTAGCTTTATTTTAATAAATATTTCCCAAACAATTATGGTGCGAGATTTGTTATTAAATTTTAGTACTTTTCGGTGCTATTTTTCATTTTTTTTTATTTGTAGATTAATTTTATTATAACACTCAAACTAATTTATACCAAATCCTATAAACAATAAATATATTATTAATTCATAGCTTATATTGTTCATATGAACAATATAAAATAATTAATAGTTTGAAATCTTAAGTATAACTAAAACAAATATTCAGGAAAACATTTGCTACTAGTAAGTCTCTTAAAATACATGTCAATTTTATATTCTGTATAAAAAAGCTTTAGAGTATGTCGGAAGGCTATGCTTCGTTGATACCTTTAGTTAAATCATAAGTGTTTACTTATATACATTATATATTTTGTAAGTTAAACTAATCATAATTATTAAATTATACTTCTAAAGAGTTATTATAAACCTTATATTTAATCGTTTTTTATTGATATAATAATTAGTATTGCGTAATATATTTACTGTAATGTAACCACTCGGGTATTTATTAATCATTAAGATAATAAATTAAAAGATAGAAAGAGAAAATATTAACTTTTTATATCTTAAAAAAATCTTGTTCTGTTTGAATATAATAAAATATTAAAATTATTTTATTAGTTATAGTTCATGTTTTCTTGAGAGATCGTTGAAATCGCGAAGCTTGATAAAAATGACGATGGGTTATATAAGTGCAACTAAAATAATTTTTTTTGCGAATAAGAGTCTATTTAATTTTACCTTACTTGATAAACATTTTTGAGTAACTATGAAAAACTTTTCTTAATTTTGAATAATTTTGAAAAATTGTTTATTTTTAAACAAATCTCCTAATGCAGCAAGTAGTTATCTCATAAATGTGAAATGATTTATGTATACTTATTTAAGAGACCACTTAAATTGCCACTTTAATAAACAGTTTGTGATATAATTAGTAAATTTTTAATTTTGATGCAATGTATTGAAGGTATTTAATATTCAATAATTATTATTTATATTGAAACACGTCTATATTTGAAACCACTGTTAATTGTATTAGCAATAATCTCTTAAATTCTGTTAAAATAAAACAAAAAATTATCTCTTGGTATATTCTATTTTAAATTTTTAAATTTTATATAAAAATATGTTTAAAACATTTTTTATAATAAATATTCCTATAGAAGATAATGATTTACAAAATTACTATCAACGCTAAAAAATGTAAGAGTTTTTTATATAAAAAATTTAGCATAATAACGTTCCCTAAAAATCCAAGTTTCCATGTGGAAACATATTGTATTAATCGTTTTATTCGGCGATGTTGGTAAAATAGTGGAAATGGCGTTTCTTGTGCAAATATTCGATTTTCGCCTACCCGTCTCCTTTCGGTCAGTTAGTGGATTTATCGACACCAGTCAAAGAATGTTTTTAAATGTGTGTACAAGTGTTTGGAACGAGAATATTCGTCTTTTTGCACAAGTAGACAAATAATTTGTATTCATTTTACATTCAGCAAGCAGATGAGAAATGGAAACCCAGCTATATATTGAACTCATTTGCATTCGCGTTATTTTTTTGTTTAATGAACTTATTCATGTCCATTTCGTTAAAGAATAATTGCACTCGCTCAAATTTGTTAAAAATATAAACGTTCACGTTCACATTCTATATGAAAAAAACGAATTAGTTTCCTTGACGTTAACTTTGTAACATTTAGTGAACACGTGTGTGTACTAGAGCTATGTATGAGCCGAACTGGCCCACAGTGGGACCAAACGCTAATTTAGCCGGCCAAAAGTACCATTTTTAAATCAACTAATAAAAATTTTTTTTTTAGCAAATTTTTTTTATTATATCCTTATAAGGTCATGTACAAAAATTCAAGGCCAAAAATTGATATAGTAATGGTTGGGTGCTATTTAAATATCATAACACTGTATTTTTTTGTTATTTTTCTAGGATTTTTATTATTTCTTCAATCATTATTTCCTGCTTAATTAAAAACCTAAATTTTTTTTTTTTTAATTTAAAATGTTTAAAAAGTCATCGGCTTTCAAATTTACTAAGAAAAAATTTTTATTTCTTTTTTTTTTTAATTTTAATAATTTTTTACACACAAAAAAATGCAAATACTTATTTTACATTGTTTTTTAAAGAGTTTAACTCAAAATTACGCAATATTACGATTACACCAATACATGCATGTTGTAGAAGAACTCTTAAGCTACAATTACAAAAAAAAAAATTTTGCGTCAGATTGCATTTGAGCCCTGCACATAGAATTTCCCTATAATAAACGTGTATTTTTGTAAAAATTGTAATTTTAATAATTTCATTGGTTTTATCAGTTCGATCAACTTTATCAGCTTAAAAGTTGTAAAAATTAGATGTAATTAAAACTAATGATTCGTTAAAATTAAGTTTAAATAAAGTTTTTAATAATACACATAAAATAAAATACTATTATTACCAAAATATTTTTCTGTTTAATCAGATTGTGTTACATGTTACAAACGGCGCGTCACGTCATAATAATTTGCACATATTTTTTATAAGTTTCACAGTGAATTAATTGCAGTTTTGTTTTAATTTAAAAGTTGTAAAAATTATTCTATTATTTTTAAATAATGGATAATCAAGTAGTATGTGGTAAGTGTTAACAATAATAAACTATATTAACAATAATATAATAGTATTTCTAAAATAAAACAATATTTAGTGGCACAGTAAAATTGTATAACTTATTTTATTTTATTTTATGTATATTATTAAAAACTTTATTTAAACTTAATTTTAACGAATCATTAGTTTTAATTACATCTAATTTTTACAACTTTTAAGCTGATAAAGTTGATCGAACTGATAAAACCAATGAAATGATTAAAATTACAATTTTTACAAAAATACACGTTTATTATAGGGAAATTCTATGTGCAGGGCTCAAATGCAATCTGACGCAAAATTTTTTTTTTTGTAATTGTAGCTTAAGAGTTCTTCTACAACATGCATGTATTGGTGTAATCGTAATATTGCGTAATTTTGAGTTAAACTCTTTAAAAAACAATGTAAAATAAGTATTTGCATTTTTTTGTGTGTAAAAAATTATTAAAATTAAAAAAAAAAAGAAATAAAAATTTTTTCTTAGTAAATTTGAAAGCCGATGACTTTTTAAACATTTTAAATTAAAAAAAAAAAAATTTAGGTTTTTAATTAAGCAGGAAATAATGATTGAAGAAATAATAAAAATCCTAGAAAAATAACAAAAAAATACAGTGTTATGATATTTAAATAGCACCCAACCATTACTATATCAATTTTTGGCCTTGAATTTTTGTACATGACCTTATAAGGATATAATAAAAAAAATTTGCTAAAAAAAAAATTTTTATTAGTTGATTTAAAAATGGTACTTTTGGCCGGCTAAATCAGCGTTTGGTCCCACTGTGTGGCCTGGCTTGAACCCAAATCCTGTCCGATTTATTGATAGTCTAGACCGGGCCGGACCTGTAATAAAAACAATTGGATCGGGTCTGGACGGGTATAAAATTAATATAATTGGTCAGTTTTAAAAAATAATTCGTCTGGACTGGAACGGAATGAGTATAAAAATCAATCTAAAGGAACTTCAGATTAAAGAAAAATGTGTTTTTAGTAGCATTCGAGCAGTTTTAACAAACATCTTGGAAGGTCTTATTCGATTTCTCATATATCTAAGCTAATATTTTTACATAAATTGCACATAATTATTTTTAATTCCAAAATTCGATTATAGTCCCCAAGGACTTGGCAACTTTGCCATTATATGTCACTCCAGATTTCGTTTATATGAAGTGGGTAACATTTACTATAATACATAAATTTCAAATACATTTCTAATTATTAAATCATAATAATTTATTTATAATACAATAAACTCCTATCAATTATTTTAGTAACTGTATAATGCAAATTTAAATAAGAGATTGGGATTGATATTTTCAAGTAACTTTTAAAGCTTTTATTATTATGGTAGTTTGAACTGAGGCCTTCTTAATAAAATTTGTAGCGTCCGCAAATTAGTTAAATTTTTTTGGAGGGGGGTAGATAAATCAATGTAGTAAAGAAGATTCCCGTCAGGTATTTTTTCCAAATTTATGAAATAGAATATGAAATTATAGCCTATAAAGAAGAATTATTAAAGCTACATCCATTTATAATTAATAATGTAGAGGAAATAAATTATTCTATACATTTATATTTATATAACATGAAGGGACAAAACATCTTATTTATAAACATTATACACAACAACAATTATTATTGCAAAAAAACAAAGAAATACAAATCACTAAATAATATAATAATAGGTCAATAATAACCATTAAAAATAATCCATTATGAATAAGTTGTACATAAAAACAAAAAAAAAAATTAAATAAGTACAAAAATTAAAAATTTTAATTAGATCTAAGGGTTGACAAAATATTATTTTTAAAACGATCACGAGACGTAAAAAAAAAATCGCAATACATACAAACTGAATTTGCTACTTAGCTAATTTGCTAGTGTAGAAAAAAGCTCTTGACAGAAAAGAATTAGGAAAATTAAATAAAGATTGAGATCTAGTATTATGAACTGAGATAAGAAATTCAACTTTGAATAGTAGTTCAGGGCAATCAATGTTAAAATTTATAAACAAACATATTGTCTGCTAATGTACGACTGATTTCACACGTATCAAGACCAATTGAGTAGTTTCATTTAAAAAGCTAGTATTTTTTTAAATTTATATTGAACATTCTCAAATTTCGAAATATAGGTGGTGTTATTAGGAGACCTAATAATAGAGAGAAACTCTAAGTGAAAACAAACCAAAGAGCGATATAAAAATTGTATGCAATTATTATTTTTAAATTGTACTATTTTTCTATTTAAAAAAACTACCATTTTTAAAGCTTTAATAATATAAAAATTAAATGTCAAATTGAAACTAAATAAACACCCAAGTTTCTAACTGATGACACTTTTTTAGTTGAATACTTGAAATATAATTATAAATTATTAAAGTATTATGACGAACAAAAGATATAATATGACATTTATCAATGTTTAAAGGAAGAAAATTGAGCATACTCCATTTAATAAATTGATTTAAATTATTCTGTAAAACTTTACAATCATCATAAGAGCGGATTTTATTATAAATTTTTGTACTATCAGCAAATAATAAAATCTTAGTATCTTTAACAAAAACAGAAGCAAATCATTAACAAAAATGAGAAACAATAGCGGACCCTAATTCGAACATCTAAAAAAAGCAATGAATTATTCAGATAATATATTTGATAACTTAACTTGTTGCGTACGATCATGATGATAAGATTCAATCCACTTTAAAAATATACCATAAACACCATAGCAATGTAATTTTATTAACAGTCTATGATCAACTTTATCAAACACTTTTTTGAAGTCCGTGTAAATGCAATCTATTTGTTGGCCCTCATTAATACCATTTAAAATATCGATTTGAAATACAACATTATTTGTAACTGTTGAATTTTTTATTATAATATATATATATATATATATATATATATAACAAATATAAATAACTATTATAAATTAACAAGAGTAACAAATGATTGATGTACATACACATGAAAATAAAATGGAATTTATAAAAAAAAGGATTTGTTATTCATCTCCAACAAGTCTAGATACTTTTTTAGATGATGCTAAACATAATGTAAGTAAATCATGGTTTAATTAATTTTTTTTATACAGATTTTCATAATTTTTTTTTTTAATTTCATAGAATTTTCGAGGTTTTTTGGTATTTTTTGGTCATGACAAAGCAGACAATACTATAATATTTTGCATAAATCAAGATAATCAATCAAAAAAATCTGAATTAATGGTCTATTACAAAAATACACGCAATCAAGAATTTTTTTTTGAAGGTAATTTATTAATAATTATTTTTTCAAGTAAAAATGTAACTTGATAAAACCACAATTATGAGCGACAAATGTCTTCTAGTATATAAGTGTTCTAATGTACTAGGAAACGTATACAAATTGTAAGTTAAATGTCTTTATCTATGAATTATTTGTTTTTTACCTATTTTACATAAAATTAACAATTAACGTGATACTAATAGGTGATAATTAATTCATTTTAGTCACACTAGGCCTCTTTGAGAATAAGTTATATTAAATCGCCTTCAATGTTAAATATTTTTCTTAGATTTTTTTTTAATTGACACTACAAATATTTACCTAGAAAACAGCGAATGTTATGATGTATGTTCCTGGAAAATGCCTAGCATAATTTTTCAATGTTTGGTTCCTATGCAAAGTTGGAGAATAGCATTTAATGGTTGCCTTAAATCAAAGTAATTATGGAATGTAAAATATGTTTATACATGTATTTCATATATTAAGTTATACATATTTGCATACATTAAGATTTATGAGTATAAAAATATTAAATACGTTTTATAATATTGAAAAAATAATGTAATTTTAAAAAGAATAAAAAATATCATAAGAAATAAAATTAGAATTTAAGACAATAAAAAAAATAAACATAACATGAATACCTTAAAAATAATAATCTATAAAAATACATTTAAAAAAAAGGAAATTGAATTAAAAAAATAATTAAGATCTATTATTAATTTCTTATTTTCGCCTAAATAGTTCTGAGTCATTCCGTGTGAAATCACCTAATATGTGTGCTGCTATAGTTCAGAAATGTTTGAAATTTATATCATAGACTTCTTAAGGGTATTGACAACAAAAATAATTTTTTTTTTTTTGTTCTTTTACCAGATAGCGCATTTATTATAATAAAAACCCAGCACAGGGGGGTCGCGGCACAGTGGAGACGTGGCATAGTTGGATCAAGTATAATGATATCTGACAGTGATTAAAATTACTATCAAAAATAAACGCTTCGATGCAAATCTTTAGATAGTGTTTAATTTTAAAAAAATTGGTGTTTTATTCCAAAAGCTACTTGATCTGCTGGTTCCTTATTAATATCTCGTTTAAGATAAAGTATGTCGAATGAAAAAGGGTTTATTAAAAAANAAAAATTGTATTGATCCATACACTTTTTAATAAGTTATAGCACTTTAAAGTAAAAAATGTAAATTATAAAATCGAGAATTTTAACACAAAAATAGCATTCGATAGCCATTTTCACCACGAAGACAAGTCCAGAGGTCAAATTTTTTTTTTAATAATAAAGTACATTACATTAGCTTTAATAAAAGATATATATAAAAGTGTCAGACTTTCCGAAATATTTTCAAAAGTCAAGTGGAAAAAACTAATTTTTTGTGAAAAAGTTGTCATTTTAAATCCCCCCCTGTGGGCAGGTTAAGTGTCAGATTTACAAAAAAAATATACCAAATGATAGGTAAAGACATCAAGCATCTATATAAAAAAAAATTATATTGATATGTTCATTTTTGAAAAAGTTACGGCAGTTTTTAGTAAAAAAAATTGAAAAAATTTCGAAAATTAGCGATTTTTAAATTTGTAATTTTTTTGGAGGTTTCCCCCATTTACGGGGAACGAGGGAAATTTTTTCAATTTTGAAGGGTAATGTCTTCGACTAGATACGATTTGTGATCTTTTGACGTATCGTTGAAAGAAATCCGTTCGGTGAGAGCTGAGAAAAAGTGGTAACAGACACAAAAAAAACACATCATAGTAAAACCAATACCTTCTCAGCTTCGCATCGAAGCTAAAACATGAAAAAACACCTTATGTATTAGAGCCTATAACTTCAAATCCAAATAAGCTATCACTGTGGAACTAGCACTGTTTTACTTATATTAAATATAACTCTAATTTCATCCTTAAGTTTATGAAATTGAATTTTTTTTAACATCGAAATTTTGATAGCAAAATTTGAAGGTCAAAAAATGTTTTAATAAAAATTCTTATTTTCTTTTCAGAAACTTTTAGTTATGTTCTTTTAACCCATATCATATTTGATTCGATTTATAATTTTTTTTGTATCGTTTTACGGTCTTTAACACGCACGGTTTACTGAAAGTAGCCAACTTTATCATCTCATTACACGAAAATGACTGAACAAATTCTTTTCAAATTTACATAGTACTTACCTTTAGGCAATTAAAATATCTGGTGTATATTTGATGAAGGAGGAATAATTTTAATGCTACTTATAGAATTTACAAAATTTACCATTTGTGTATTATGGAAAATCCACAAACTATGTAATTTTGAACACCTAATTTTTATTTTAGCTTTGATGCGAAGCTGAGAAGGTATTAATTTTACTATAATGTGTTTTTTTTATTATTATTATTTTCTAGTCTAGTTTTGTTGACTTGGGCCGATGAGTTGGTATTTAATAGAGTAGTGTCAAAAAAATTATGATTTTATTAGTTAGAATTTAAAGAAGATTATCATGTTTTAGCTTCGATGAGAAGCTGAGAAGGTATTAATTTTACTATGATGTTCTTTTTTTTTTGTGTCTTTTATCATTTTTTCTCAGTTCTCACCAAACCGATTTTTTTTATAAATTTTTCTTTTATAAATGCATGATATCTTTACCTATCATTTTGTATATTTTTTTTATAAATCTGACCCTTTACCTGCTCACAGGGGGGATTCAAAATGACAACTTTTTAAACTTAACTTTTAAAAGTGTTCCGGAAATACTGACACTTTTATATATACCTTAAATTAAAGCTAATGTAATATACTTTATTATGGATAAAACAAATATCGTATTATAAATATCTTTATGTCTTTTATCGTATTTATCAACGATTAAATTTTAATCCTTTTATAAAAGTTGAAGTAGTAAATTATTGTGAATTAAATAATAGTTATTATTAAGGTCCTTAATGACATCACTTTTTTATTTTTTTTCAATTTCATTGCGTGTATGAACCCTTGCTAACTATGCTTGTTTAAATGAAAATGTTTAAACCTCTTTTTTAATTGTCTTTTCAATATTAGGTGTAAATTTTTTAGGAACCTAATTTTTTCATCGTTGTCGTCATTTCTTCAGAATTAATATTTTATGAAACAGTTTAGTATTTTGGCCGTTTAAAAGTCCTTTCAGAAATTATAAATTGAATTATTTTGAGTTTTATTAGAGCGTTAAATTCATCTTCTATTCTCGTAATTTAATGTGTAAGGCTTTCACTCTGTCAATTTTGAAAATTTCAAAACCCATGGAACTATTTTTGTACCTACAATTTCCTTGTGATCTTTTTTTAGAAAAAACTACGCATTTTACTAAACACGCTAAATATTTCATGTATTTATACTAACTGATGAAAATGTTATCAATGACGTGTGAAGTATCGACTTATGTATGACAACTTAAGTAGTTATATATTTATATATAGTTAAATATTTATTATACTTTTTGATCTAGAAGTTTCACTCGAATTCAATTAATTATCTAAGGTTGATGATTAATAAACAGCGTTTAAAACTGTGAGTACGCCACTGGTTGGTGCATTATTATTTCAATTTTTTTTCAATTAAATTAATAAAATATTGAATAAATAAAAAATGTGCATAAAATTAAAACAAAAATAACCAATTTAAACTTAAAAATTATTTTATGAATTTTAATAATTATATCGGACAATAATTTATGATTTTAGAAGTGAAGTTCAAATTCATATGAAGATAAACTTGATGTAAGAATCAATATTTGAAACTATTTGAATAAACAACACGTATATAATACATATATTTTATCAGATTAATACTTAAATATTTACTATTCACCTTGGATTATCCTATCTAATTGAAAGAAATTTATTTATCACTAAATAGAATTATGAACAATATCAATTAATTAAGTTGAAAGATAAACATTGGGCTGTTTTTTTTTTATTATTAATTAAAGCCGATATTATAAGAAAATGGTAAAGTTCGACTAGGAATAATTTAATACACGGTCGAGTCAGCCGACTTCTCAAGACGGTAATAATCATTTATTAGGTGTTATCTATCAAAATATAAGATTATTAGCAAAATATACAAGTAGCAACATAATATATATTATTAAGTATTCAGTATACTTCCACTAAAAATTATAATTATAAATAAACTTGAAACCCATCTATAACACCCACTTCCCCTTTTGGAGATCGGGTAGATATTCTATTGAAGCATAGACAATGGTACCTATGGTAGTACTTGAATAAGATGTATAATGAATATTATTCATAATACAAGATACAATGTCTCAGATTAAGCAAAGGATGTAAAAATTATAATTTTTATATCCTGTTCGCATTATTATAGTAACTAGAGTGATATATTTGGACAAAATATCAAAGCCAATGAAAGTAAATTAGACATATTTTTGTATATTCATATTCGAATGCGTGAAGAATTCTTCAAATTATTTTGATTTCGATTTTCGAACAAAATAAATCTTTTTTGATTGTTTTTGAGTTTAACATATGTTGAACAATAAATTAAAAAAAAAAATGTATGCGCATTAAACATTTTTTTTACTAGGTGGAAGCCTTTTGGTTTTCCTGTTTACTGTGATGTATCTAATGATTTTTTTAAAAAAGAGGTTGAGTCGGAATCATTTGCGTAAGTGTAGAAATTTAATAACAATTATAACAGAATAGCAACGATATAAATACATGTCTTAAGACACATATATTTTTTTTTCAAAATACATGTACTTGTCAATTGACGAGTACATGTATTTTGAAAACCAGATCATTTGATTTAAATGATTTAAGTAAGGCTTACCTACTTTAGCTAGTTAAGAATTTTGTTTTTCTAGGATAGAAAATTTAATTGGATTTGATCAATTTGGTGTACTTTCTGGTACTATAGTTTATGGTGACAAAATGGAAAATGTTAATTTAACAGCACTAAAAATAAGACGATGGAAAATGTCAAAACACGATTCTATATTTGCCGGAAAATTTAACGATAATATAGCAATAGTGCAAAAATGCCAAAGGTTAAATTGTTAATTTTTACATTTTACACTTTTTTCAAGCGATTGTGTAGTAATAGAGTTGTAAATTAAATATCATTCAAATTGCAATGTTATATTTACATTCTTACATCTGGAAATTTACCATCTGAAAAATATGCTAAAGTAAACGTTACATTTTTATTTTTTAGAATGAATATCTGTCGTGGTCATTTAAAACTTCCAGAAGGCCACGAATACGTGACCAAGTGCGACATTAAGACAGTAAAAAAACAGCTTAGTGTTTCTTCAATTGTAATGCAACACAATAGTAAATGAAATTATAATTTTAATTTAAACATCGATGTAGATATATTACGCTGTAGTATTATTTTAGATTCAAACTATATATTTAACTTAAATTCATCAATAGAATTTTTTTCGAAAAACATAACATTTATGACTGGATTTGAAAATGGACAAAAAGGGATATTCTTTTATTTCGAGTGAATAATCTATTTTTGTACTAATCATTTTTATTATATAAATACAAAAAGAAATGTATTGGTAAAATTAACAAATTTTATTTGTTATTACAATCAACTTAAAACACTTAGTCAATTTTTTTTTGTATAGTAAATTATTCTTGAGTCATATTGTCTAATATTTTTTTCTTACCAGTATTTTTCTATTTGTATCAATATAAAATTAAAAAAATGGTTTTTAATACGCATAATAATTATAATAAAATAATTTAAATTTATTTTTCGAATAGGAATGAAATTAAATCTGAAGGAATAATGATTATGAATAATTATAAACACGATCATTATACAAACTCTAAAAGATATATTGTCAAATTAAATTCTGAATTGTGTTTAAATTCTAATGTGGTCGGCAATAAAGCAAGATCATTGTCATTGTTGAACTTCAAAATAAAAGAATGTTCAATAAAAAATGTAATAAATTGATATGTTTCATTAGTTTTAACTTATTCGGGACTGGCTAAATGGTTTGCATTAGTCTCAATATTTTCTTCTACGATTAATATTGTATTTGAATCATTGTTGCTTATAATTAGTTAGGTCTTTTTAAAATAGAAAAATTATTAAGTATAGTTTGAGAATATTATTTTAAATTTACTAAATACTTTTATAAAATAACTATAATAAGAAAAAATAATATTTGAAAAATGTATATTAGAGTAAATTATTAACATGACATAAATGTTAAGTAATATTTTTAAAAATTATGATTTTAAACAAGAATTTAAAATGATGATAATCAATGTAACAATTTATATTGATAAAAATGATACTTTCTATTTTTTTAAATTAAAAATTATTTTTTCTAAAGGTAAGTGTACCATCTGGTATATGTATTAAAACCGAAGCTATGTACGATCATATTGAAGAGAACGAAAATCTGATCGAAATTTTGCGGTTGGTAATTAAGAAAGCAAAAGAAAATAACATCGAAGAACTTTTAGAACATTGTGAAAAGTAAAGAAGTTATGATAAATTAAATATTTATTTAAGATATTTACAATTATATTCATGTTTTCATTTTTATGTCAACGTTTCTAACTTTGTATCGGGTTCAAAAACGAGTAACATTTTTGTGAATATTCGAAATAATACAATAATCCATGAAAGCTTTAATATTTCATAAATATAATAGTTTTCTCATAAAATCACATAACTTTCATTAAATAGTTTAGTAATAATTATATTCTTAATTTTAATATTGCCAAATATTTTGAATAGGTTAAAAGTAAAATTGATGTCGACGAGATTAAGTGAACAATTAACAAGAGAAATTTTCAAAAATATTGTCGAGAATCAAATATATGCTGTACGGTCTTCTGGTACGCTTGAAGATGGTGACATCTCATCTTCTGCTGGTCAATATTTAACTAAGCTTGGTTCTATTGGTATACATAGTATTTCGACAGATATTTTGGAATGTTGGGCATCTAACTTTTCTGCCCAGGCTCTAATTTATCGAATGTACTAGTAATTTTGAAATTAAAATGTATTTTTAAATTTTACACTAAACTAATTAGTATTGGATGCACAAAAAAAAGTTATTGACTTATAAGATAATCAACAAATTTTTTGTTTATGAACAAAAAAAATTTTCTTCAGTCAAATCAAAACTGATTGATAATTATTAATGATAATAATATTCTAGTTTGTATCAAAAGATATACTCTTTAAATTTATTTGGAAAGTTTATTAAATCGACATTTATTTTTTTAAGTCATTTATTCATATTTTGAAAAGATATTTTTAAAATGTAATACATCTCTTATATATATATATATATAAAATACAAACTATCACAGAGCATTATTAAGTACTTTACACTAGAGTAGAATTTAATTTTATACTTAAAATGTGAAAAAATAATTTAATTGTATTGTTTTCATTAATATGTTACATAGGTATAGGGTTATTTTGCATTTATCTTTTTTTATCAAAAATTATTTGAATTATAATTTCTCTGTGCTTATAGTAATTATTTCTTAAATCACTAGTTATCTGTTTAATTTACGTGAGAAAACTTAAATAGTGATGTTATTGTTCGTATATATTTCCAGTAGTAATTAAAAAATATTTTTAACATTTTTCTCGGGCATTTTAAAATTAATTATAAATGTTGAATTTCACACATCTAAATGTAAACTTATATATTTAAATACACGGGAAGAAAGCTAGTTAATCGTGAATACTTTAAAAATCTTCAACTAATGCTTTAAATTTAATTTGTCATCATCTCCTTAGCCTCTATCCCAAATATTTGGGATCGGTTCGTATTTATTTGACCGGATTTTTATACCAGCTGTCGACTTGACACAACCTCATTATTGCTGAGAGACCAGTAAGGGAGCAAAGTGTGTGTTACTAAAAAAGTTCCCGCTTGGTCACCCATCCGTGATCCAACAACAAACAGTGTAGTTGAACATTAGCGCTGAGGCGGTGACTGAATGATATACTAGGTCACATCACGTCTCTAATTATTAATACTTAGTTATAGTGCAGAAATTAAAAATTCAGTTTTGTAAAAGCGCACACTGTTTAATTCTTTAGTCCATTTAATAAAAATGCGTGCATTATATTATGAATTCATCGTTAACCATTATAAACTCGATTTTTATTTTTATTAAAATTTTTTTTCTAAATAGAAATAATGGACAGCCCTTATTTTGTGGCATGGCGGTCATTGTTCAAAAATTAATTGATGCCGACGTAGCTGGTGTTTTATTTACACGTGATCCACAAACAGGCGATCCTGAACGAATTACCATTAATTTTTGTAAAGGGATTGGAGAAGTATTTAAAAATATACATTTATTTGATTTTATAATTTTTATTTGACACAATTGATCACATTTAATTTATGATATTTAAGTGTGTGGTGTCAGGTACTGTAACACCAGAAACCTTAATCATTTCTCGGGAATCATGTCAAACAATTTCAGAAGAAAATGAATGTAAATATTTATGCATTTTTACAAATTAATAAATTTTTTTTTTGATTCAATGCACGTCTTCAGTTACTAGATAACGTTTAAACTTATTGATAACTACATAGTGATAGCCACTTTTCCTTTTAAGTTTATACAGGAATAACATATATGAGATAGAACAAAGCTAATGATAAAATAAATATATGCTGAAAACAATCTTTGAGCGACAGTGGGCCGAGTCAGTAACATGGCAGTGGTGGATATCAGAGGTCACGAGTGACTCCATTATAAGGGAGTATATAAGGTTAAAAAAATTTTTTTTTGGAAGATGTATTAGAATTCTTGGGTAGTTAAAAAAAAATGTCGAGAACAGAAAATAAAATTATTATGCATATCCCCTGAGAACGTCTCTGGTTCCATTGTTTGTCATTATATAATCTAAAACAAAACTGTTAATTTTTTTGGACTCTAGAAAATGTCAAAATAATCTAAAAACTAATGACGTGATTGAAATCGTTCAAAATCTTAACTACGATCACTTTTGTAACTGATATTTTCTCTTTTTGCTATCAATAGGTTACGATAACGAAAATGTGTATATAAGCGGTGAAAAATTAAACGAAGAGTCTATTAATAAAAACTTAATAACTTCATTGTGTTTACTGTGTTTGGAATTAGAAGAGATATTTGGTTCGTCAATAGATATAGAATGGGCAATTAAAGAGGTAATTTGAGAATGTTTATAAAAGAAATTAATCTAAAATTTTTATTTTATTTTTATATCAATAAAATAGGCAATTATGTATAAATAAACACGAGTTTTGACCTTTTTTTATTACAACTTTCTAATAAAATTATTTTGTGACAAAAATCTTTAACATTTTAATTTTCAACCTAACAATTAACAGAAAACTATTAGTCAAAATAACTTTTAAAAAATTGGGCTAATATTTCAATTTGTTAAGTTAAAAGATATTTGAAAATTTAATTAATTTTATCTTTATATCTCTGTAGTTAGTATGTAATTTAGGTCAAAAAACGTAACTAGTTGAATTCAAAGACAAATCCCCCAAAAACAAAAGAGTTCCTAATTAAATCAAATTAAATTAAAATTTTTCTGGCAGTTTTAATCTTCAGTTCACTATAACGTAAAAACTCGTTTATTTACCAATTATTTTTTTTGTCTTTAATGATATATTCTCTATACTTCTTTCCTTTTTACTATGTGAGCTCTCATGGATGTAATTCTAATTTGTATAATTGTTTTAAGGCAGATATTTTTCTTCTTCAGTTAAGACCAATTACATCTATATTTGCTTGGAGTGATAATGAAATCTTACATGAGTTTGATTCTCCGTTTTCTTGTAAAGATGTCTCTGTTTTCTACAACACCAAGTAAGTATGAAATAGAAGTGGTATAAATTATTTTGTTAAAGAACATTCGTAAGAAAATGACGAGTCTATAAGAAATTTTAGACTAGTACTTCGGAAGTTATTAATAGTTCTATATCTAGATGGGTGGGAGAGATTGGTGAAAGAAAAAAAATACCTATATAGTTGACACCCTTATAAGACATAAGGGATGAAAAAAAAAAAATTTTATTATTAAGTAAAACGCATATCTAAAAGAAATAAAAAAAAAATATTTTATTATTAAGTAAAACGCATATCTAAAAGAAATAAAAAAAAATATATTTTAAATACTATTTTTATTTCTTGACAAATTGAGTGGTTTATGATAAATGAATCACTCTGTATATAAAGTGTCATTATAGTAATAATTAAATTTAGTATGAATTATATATTCAATATTTTAATATTGTAAGTTTTGTAAAAGGAATATTAAATGGAAGTTATAGGAGAGTACTTATTTCAACTACCTACATGACTATACTTTTTGAACTAAAGTATAATAGACATAAATAATTAAAAAAATNGAACTAAAGTATAATAGACATAAATAATTAAAAAAATTTGAAAATAAAGTATAACAATACAAAAACGATGATTTCTACATAAAAATAACTTTTTTTTTTTAACTACTGAGGCAGTTTACATTCAAAGTGATAGATTCAACGCTAGCCACCCCATTTTTCTTAAAAATAATAATTATGATAAAAAAAACAATTTTTAATTTTTTTTAGTTCCATATATTTCATTATTTATCAGTCATTAAATACTTTTTTAATCGGAGATTTTCTTTTTTTCATTATAAAGTACTCTTAACAGTTTCAATTTGATACTAGTTTGAAGTAGTAGCGTATTTAAAAATGTTGTATAAGGAAGGGTTCAGGTAACTTTTAGAATGTAGAGTAGTGAGGGTATTTAATTTTCCAGTACTATGATTTTATGTTCAATGGGAAGGATTCTGGAACCCATGGACTAGTTCATGTAAATTGGCCACTGGTGTGAAAAACGCAGATGTTCCGGAAAATTTTCAAAAATTGAGTTAAAAAACAATTTTTTACGTAAGTGTGTGATTTCCACCAAACCCATCCTATACTTTTAATTAGATTTTTAATTTAACTTTCAGAAAAAATATACTAAAAAAATATAATTGTCTTTAGTATATTCTGTTAAAATTTCATTAGAATAAGTGTTTTTCAAAAAAATATAAAAAATAAATTAAAAAAATTTTGATTTTGAAAATATATTTAATGGCAGCGTAAATTTGAGATATTTTTTACTTTTTCAAAATTTCTAAAATCGAGGGAGTTTTACCCCAAATTTCGACGAGGATAAGTTTAATAAATAGATTAAAATTAAGTTCTTTTGCCTTATAGATGAACCATATAGGTCTAGCGATGGCTGAGAATTTTTATAAAAAAAGAACGTATAACCTAAACCTAGCATCGATGCTAAAAAATAAATAAATGATACATGACTCAAATATAAATAAAACCATTAACAAACTACTCTGCGCTAAAATCTTATATATGGTTTTGTTAGCACTCCAAACATTTAATTCTAATTGTGTCTCTAACGATGTAAGTTTTTGCACAAATACGTAGAAATTATTGTTGAGTTAACATTTTGTTTAAAAAAAAGGAAGGTTACTTGGTAACTAATAATAAGAATAAGAGTGAATTTTATTTGATTTAATAAAAAATAAAAATTTTTTTGAAACTTTTTATATTTTAATTACAGAGATGTTTTCCCTGGAGCATTACATCCATTGTCACTTACTTTAGATTTTTTTTCGTTACTTCCAAGTCTAGGACTAGCTAAAAATGACCCAACAGATATTTATAATGGAAAACAGCAGTTTAACATTAATTTTAACTGTTGTTTAAATTTGTGTCAAGTTAGTAATTATTATTTTTTGCACACTATATTTGTATTAATATAAATAGATTTTTCTTTATTTAAATATCTATTATTCAATTATTTTAATGCAAAAAATATATTTTATTTAATCAAAATACAGTCTTTCTTATTTTTAATCTTCAAAATATAATATAATATTTTAAACTTTATATTATATTAAAATTTAGAAGTCTTTATCCAATTATGCATTAATATAACTCAGAACAACTTGACCCAGGGCCTGAATTTGTGTATCATAAGAAATATAAATTATTCAAGTAAATTTTCATGACTAATAAGAATATCTGGTAATGGAATGGCATTTTTTAATGTTTTTTAATATTATTATCTTCAATTTATAATAAATAAGAGATTTGTGTTTAAAACTGTCTGTATGTTTAATGAATATACAGACAACATTGTTAATCTAAAATTTCGAATAAATTAATTACTTAATTAAGTAAAATGTGATTGTTTAGTTTTCTATTTTAGTATATATTAAAATACGTTTTCATTAGTTAAATTAAAAATCGGACGAACCATTTTTAAATTAATATTTCATTTTACAAAATACAACTGTCAATATAATGTATTCATTATTTATTCTTATTAAATTACTAAAATAATTTTTTTTTTACTCTTATGTTAGTTATTTCAATACTTGGAAGTTGATAGCATTTTTTCCGATATCATACAATATTCTATAGCAGGAAAATTATTCGTAACAAATGAAATATGGCAAAACATTAAATTGCGAAGAAAATCTAAATTAAGGATATTTCTCCATTTCCTATCGACATTTCAGGTATATTTCTGAACAGGTGTATGTGTAATTTAAGTTTATTTGTATATTTATGTTAGAAATTTACTACTAAAATTATTATTTTTTAATTTAGACGATGTTTAATGTAGAATCAAAGGTTAAAAATATGCGTCGGAAAGTCGATAATATAAATATAAAAAAATTAACTACAACTTCTTATTCATCTATTCAATATCTAAGTCAAATAAAAGTTGTTTTAAAAACGTTTGAAGAAGTAAATTAATAACAAAACAACTACATTATACATTATTATATTATGTAAAAACACAAGCATTTTTGTTAGGCGGTACGTTGTCATATGGACACTAGCACAAACAATGTGATATCTCATACATTAGTGCTGACTTTAGGATTGAACACGACTAAAGGTGAACCCATATTTTTAATTTAAAATGTAAGCAACAACAATATTAGATGAAGCGACACTCATCGCTCATATCTTCCTGTGAGAACACATATGATTAGATTTATCTACTGAAAAACTACACATACATCACTATTATTAATCATAAATTAGTACGAAGGAGTAGAAAGTGATAAATTTAAAATGTAGAAGTAAATTATTTTTTTTGCTTGTATTTTTACGATCTTCGTCATATAACAATTTTATAAATCTCCATATGATTTAATAAATTAATTCATATATTAATAGTGGTTTTTTCATCATTTTTCTTTAAGAATATCAAAATAAATTAAAAACTGTCTCATTTAAACGAGAAAATTGTATTAAAACATTTTTGTATAGAGCATTGTTAAATTTTTTTTAAGAATATTCTCAAGAATATTTGACCAAATTAGCGTCTTCAATAAACAACTCTAATGCAGTATCATTGTTAATTCTCAAACACTTAATGGTAAATTAATCAAAATAAATATATTCGAATAATATATATATATATATAATGTATACAATATAAATGCATATAATTATGTCAGGAAATAGCTAATGCACTGTCTCAAGAAATTGAAAAAACAGAATTTTGTAAATTGCCTTTACACGATTGCCACAATTGGATAAAATCAAATTCTAAGAAATGTCATCGTCTTATTGAAGATTTTATTGTAAAGTTTGGACATCGTGGTGTTCAAGAGGTATGAATACTTTTTATAAAATAATTTTTTATATGAATAATGATTTTTTTTTTCAATTTTTAACATATTTATAAAGCTAGACGTGGGTTGTGAAACATGGTCAACCGATCATAACAAATTATATTCGTGTATTCAAAAGTTAGTATCTCAAGATCATTACCAACCTAATATTGAACCTAAAGCTAATGATTTTGAAATAACCAGCTTTTATCCAAACGGAGGATTCTTGAAAAAGTATATAAATTTATATATTTTTAATAAAAAAATATAAATAATCATAATTATTTTTTCAGGTATTTTTTAAATTATTTATTAACGCGATATAGAAATAGCATCACATATAGAGAACTTTCAAAAGACTTATATGTTTTAATAACTCATAAGCTACGATTGTGTTACTTGAAGCTCGGACAAATACTTGTTGATGAAGGAAAAATGATTGATCCAAAATTGTTATTTTTCATGTCTCAATATGAGTTGGAAAAAATTTGTCATGAGAGAGACACTTTAATTGTATACAAGTATGTTATTATTAAAGAAACAATTTAAAACATTTTCATTAAAATTAATATTTATATTAAAAATTTATAAATGTTATGTGATAAAAAAAATGTTTATATAATATGTACTAGTAAATTAATTCGTAAGTTATTCGCAGCACGGAAATTATAAAAACAAGTGTGAAAGGGTTACGCAGTTAGAATACGTCGTTCGATCTGGTACCTGCACTTAAGCACAAGATACACTTAAATTTTAGAAAACTAAATACTTCCAAAAGACGTTTCAGTAGGTAAATTTTAGACTCCAAACTTAAATAACTTCATATTATTTATCAAGACAGTGATTCCCAATATTTCCAAGTATAAGATGGAGAGAACATCATTATTTCTAGGTCTAATCTAGTTATGTTGTCCGTTTTTTATTTGAAGCTAATAGTCACCTTCCAGAACCTATTCATCTAGCTGTATCGTACTATAGAAAAAGATAAAAGGGCTAAAGATTCACTAGGATCGTGGTTATAAAGATACGATAAATCCATTGAAATCTATGTTTCAGAGATCATCGAGAAACTGGCAAAATAACTATGAAAAACGATTTAACGTTGTAGAGAATTATTACCGTCATTTATTCGAAAATAATAATAATAATAATAATATTGGATACGAACGAATACTGCCACAACTTGTAAGACTTTCAAATTAGTGTAAATGCCATAGAGTTAGCAATTAAGAAAATGTCAATAGATACATTTCCAGGCCCAGATGAAGTTGTACTTTAGACTATTTGCTAAGTTAAATGTGCGGCCGTAATTCTAGTTATTTCAAAAGAGTATTCGCGTGGAGCTATGTTCTTTTTAAACTTTAAACAGGGAGAACTATATTACTATACAATGAAAAGTATTCAGAAGCAGATATTCAAAATTAGAGACCAATAACTATGTATAGTGTGATAGGTCGAGTAATTGGACGGTGTCTTCACCAAGCAGTTAGAAAGAGAATTGAATTGAAATAGTCACAATCTTCATATAAATAAAATACAAGGTTAGTTTACATAAAATTAAACTTAACTGTAGAGTTGCACAGGAATCACCTTTATAGCCAACTATTTTTAACGCGTGTCAAAATTACGTGGCAAAACAATAGCTATGAACTACTTGTGATTGTAGAGATTCAAAGTACGCTGCTACATTGGTAGAATTACTTAGAATAGAATTTGGTAAAGTAGGCATGTTAAACAATCTAGCTAGCTCAGTTGCAAAAAATATTTGTAACGGTGTTTTGGCATTAGATCTCATAGAAATAGTGGTTTATCTCTATACCACTGTTTCTATGTAAATATAGTAGCATTTTTCATTACGCTACCTTGAAGTATATTTCTGTACTAAAATAGTTTTTAACCTTCTACGTGGTGATAAAAATTAACATTTTAGACCAGTGTATTTATTCTAAACTTGTGTACTCAATACAGACATTGATAGATCTTTTGTAACAAGAGTTTCTAGAAAAATATAACATGGTCATGCGTCAAGGTGTTTAAAAAATCACTGGCTTACCTGCTTATACACTAGTGCCAATGTAAAAATAAAATTAAATAAAATTAAGAGGGCTTGATATCCTTCGAGTAAAATAGGAAGCGTCATACTACAACGTATTAATGATCCGTATTTAATGATTGTAAAAAAAATTCAATAAGGAGAAAAGAGAGTGTCGACAACAATTGGATGGAATCATAGGATTTAATGTGTGTGCTATACTGTCCAAACTAAGGAAAACTGAGTTCGATAAATGTGATAAAAGTGTTACCCCGACGTAGTATTGGCAATGACATGGTATAAATATTGAACTTTGCCAATAATTGGGTTTCAAATAAGAGGGGTTTAACAAGTAACAAATGGACGAACTCCCTTAAAATATCAATGAATACAATGGTAAATAAGGCAACAGGTGGGCGAATCCAGGCAAATTGCTGTTATAGAAATCCAGTTTACAATGAGATGAACCAAATTGAAAATCTCCCTCATATTTGTGAAATCTATCCTCATTCAGAATAATGGCAAAATTCTTCTCGTCATAAGATACGAACTATAACTGCAGATTTATTTAGAAAACTATGTTAAAGGTTTATGAAAAAGTTCATTGTGTTCCAAAATCAGTTATAAGAAACCAAAATAGACGTCTGATATCGCACTGTGAGTAATCTAGAATAGTAACTCAAAATTGACAAATTAATTTACTTGTTTAAACATAATTTGTTATGGTATAAATGCACAATTCAGTTATAATCCAAAAAGTTATCCAATGACGCATTATGTCGTATCTACAGAATTAAATGCATACTACTAAATAATATTGTTTAGCAGGAACAGAAAATGATTAATTCGTTCCATGCATTATGCATTTTGAGTTTTTACACTAGAGTACTCACAGTGCGATATCATAGATCATTTGTGAAGTGATGTTTTTATACTTGATCCAGTAATTCACTGGTAAACGAATAATATAAATCTAGATACTGAAGTAAATAACAAAAAAAGTAATATTTACCATCTGATATTACCGCATATATTGGATTAACGATTTTTTAAAAATCATAATCTTAATGGAGAAGACTTGAGAATAATCTGTCTTTCAGCTATGAAAGATACTCTTAAAATAATTCATAGACATTTTTATGGTTTGCAAACCTTTTTTTTTTTAATTCAATTATATTAAAAATTTTATACTTTATATATACATATAGCTATTATTATGTGCTTTCAACATTTTTTTTACTATTTATTATTACCATTTTTATGATTAAGTTGTAATTTGGCATCCATTTGATGTTTATATCAATTCATTCTATAATTATTCTACTTAGTACTCAATAAATATTGTCTGAATGTTTTACTAAGTCACTTAAGGCAACCCGTAAAACGGACAGTTCACTTTATTTTTATATAAAATAAAAGTTGTTCCGTTTTTATTTCTTAAGAGCACTCATGAGGAAAAAAATGTGGCCAAAATTGTCACACTATCAGTTTGAAGATGTCAATATTGGATTTCCTATTTACAAACTTCCTAATTCTATTCATGTAATATTTAACTTTGTTTTATTGTTAATTCTAAAAACTTATTTAAAAAATATATACGTATAGTATTTAGATTCAAACTCTACACGCTTCTCAGGATGTCCAATTTATCCCGGTCATATTACCAATCGGGCATGCATTCTAGAATCCGTAGATCAAGCAGAACATTTAAAATCTGGAGATATTTTGATTGTTAAATCCATTGATGTTGCTTGGTCTATTTATTTTCCAATAATATCTGGCTTAGTGACTGAAATAGGGGGTATCATATCACATGGTTAGTAGTTGATAAAGATGATTTTTATTTAGTAATTCGTCAATATTCTTAAATTAATGGAATTCTAGTACTTTTTTGCAATTTTAGGTGCTGTTGTTGCTAGAGAATATAGAGTACCTTGCATTGTTGGAGTTACAGGCGTAACAAAGAGTTTCAAAACGGGTAAATAACTTTAAACCGTATTAGAGCCAAAAATGCATTGGCATTAAATTGTATTGAATTTTAGGAGATATGGTAATTTTAGATTCAGAAAACGGATTTTTACAGTTACGCGATACTTAATAATTTACACGAGAACAAGGTTAAGTTTTAACAATACACTTGGCACACAGTATGACTCATACATATAAACTATTAAAATAAATTTAGATTTATAAATATTGTATCTTATTTACATTATAATTTATCGACATGTTCGACTGGTTAATTCTTAATAAGTTTAATTTTTCAAATTCTTCCTTATCCATGGCATAAAATTCGTTACTCGTGTATATACTCCTGGATATTGACCTTTACCACAGCCTATTCCCCAACTAACAATACCAACTTGAGTCCATTTTTGATCATTAAGCATTAAAGGACCACCACTATCACCCTAATTATGAAATATGTTATTAAATGCTTATTCAAATGTTTAAAATTTACATTAAACTTATTCTTACGCTGCAAGAATCTTTAGTCGCTTTTCCTGCACATAAAAAGTGTTCGACAATTCCACCAGGAGCAGCTTCTCCATATCTTTGCCTGCATTCTTGATTCGTCCAAACTGGTACATTAACTTCTTGTAAAATAGCTGGTTGTGGTCCACCTGAAACAAGTTACATTTAAAATGAATTATTAATTTAATTTTTATTTATTTACTATTAATTTATACTCACTTTCTTTTAAACTACCCCAGCCAATTACTGTTGCTTGTTTGCCAATATAAGATGATTTACTTTGTGGTAAGCATATTGGATGAACTTCTTTAGAAAATTTTACTGGTTTGTCTAATGTAAGAATTGCAATATCATTGTACTAAATAAAAATAATAATCATTAATAATTTTGTAACAGAAACGTATTAAATGTTTTTGTGTTAAAATATCTCACTAATGTTCTTTGATCAAATCCTTTATGTCGAACTACTCTTTTAATTTTTCTTTCTAAATGTTTTATTTCTGATTTACTTTTAATGTTGTAATCACCAAGATGAGCAGTGAGTCTAGCAACATCCCAAGAATTCATACTGTAATAAGGAGAGGCATTTACTTTTAAAAAATTAAAAATATATTTATATAAGTAATTATAAATATATGTTAACTTACTATGCGACACAATGTGCGGCCGTTAATATATGGCTGTCATCAATTAAAGATCCTCCACAAAAATGCCTTCCCGAGTTAAAAATAGCAGCCTGTGTAATAATTATTAAAATTATTAAAAGTTTAGAACTAATGAATATATAAAAATCTAATAAATTAATAATTAAACAAATAGATGAAATGTGCGGACGATAATCCTCAATGATCAAAATAAAAATCTTAAAAACTATCCCATTAAGCAAAAATGTATTAATTAAATTAAATACAACTAAAATAAGTTTTAGAACAAAAGTAAACAAAAATATGTTTACTTGAAAAATATGTTATCTTTTTAAATTTGACTAATGTTTTTTTACTTACAATCCACGGCCATTCTCCGGGGTCAGCATTTTGTCCACCTACGATTCTTTCTTGATCTTGATCATCACCAAGTATATGTTTTAATCCGCATTCATATGATTCATTTCCACTTATATTGTTAGTATTGGTAGTATTGGGTTGATTGTTTGATGGTGGAGAAGGAGCTGGGTTAGTATTTGGAACTTCTTCGGGTTCTATTTGAAGAGGTGGTTGGGATGGCCAATTCGTAACTGGTGGAGATATTGGAGATTGTGGTGGTGGTTGTTGTGGAAATGAAGGAGGCCAGTTAGGCGGGACTCCCCAAAATGGATAAAGCATATCTTCATTATAATAATTTGGTGGAAACGCAGGTCTTAATGCTCCAGGATGTGTACAACAAACTCCAAAATTCTAATATTGTTAAAATTATAAATATTATTAAAAATTATATAAATAAAATATTCTGTTTTATTACGCTTAATACCTGTTTATGATTTTGATCTATGTATGTACATGTATCATACATTCCAATAACTGAAGTTTCCCAGTAAGGCATATTAGGTAACTTAATGTAAGGATAGCATGATCGAAGACTCACGCATTTTCCAAGGGAACCTCTACCAGTTAGACAAGGACCAGATGCTAATGGCCACTGACTTTGTCTTTTTGATCTGTATTGAGCGACATTACTTTTGGTTTGTACATTTTGACTAACTATTTTCGGAACTTTTTCTAGTGGAATCGCTAAATATCATCAAAAGTTTATAAAATTAAAAATGTAATTATCTAACTATAACATTTAAATATGTAGCAGTATAATTATTAAATAATATTATTATTCTAATTATTAATAGTAAATAAACCTGGCTAAGAAGATATCTTGGAAATTGTAAATCATTTTAGTTATTATATAATAAATAATTGTCCAGTCGACGAATCATAATATGGGTACATAAATACCTTTATTTTTTTGCAATCAAATAATAAAACTAATTATAATAAGATACAAAATAACTTTTGAGTTTAGTGAAAACATAATCTGATACTTATGTTACTTTATTATTAATTAAATACTATTGAATATAAACAAAAGAGAGTATAAATTTCATTAGAGATGAATTATTTAAATACTAAATTAAAACATTGCACTATAATATGAATGTTAAATAGGCTTATAATTTTAGTAAAACGGTTATTGAAGTTTTAAATATAGAACATATAATAGTAATAAATTTAGTATAGTAAATATAGAAAACTAATTTAGTCAATTATAATAGAAACCTATAAACTTAAATAATTAAAATACAATACGTCAATAGTAAATGAATAAGAATAAATTTAGTAGTGGTTCAGTGTAAAATTTATTTACAACGTTTTTTCTTATTAATATAAAACGATTATGGATAAAAAATAATAAAATATTTAAAACCACGTGTTTTAGTTATTGTTTTCATTTACAGTAAATTAATTTTAACAATTTATTGGTATGCTTAAATTCATTTTTCTAGAAATATAAGTACATATGTAAATAAAAATGTTATATTTATACGTGTCCTTGACATTACAACATTGTTTTTTTACACTAGAAGTAATCACACTGTTCAAAAAACTGGTCGTTTGCAAATATTTTTTTGCGATTAAATATTAGATGACGAAAAGGGTCAATATACTTAGTCTCATTTCATATACATTTAACGCTAGTAACCGGCTGTTAATAAATGGATGTATAGGTTGCCGTGTATATTTAAATATTCAATGCATATAAAAAAATAATGTTGTACAATATATTAAAATACAATTTAGGTTATTTAACTGCGCAGTAAGAAAAATAGTAAATTTGAAGTGAAATTTATTTATATTTACAACGTTACAACTGTTCATTATTTGTTATGAAAGTACTCATTACCATTTTTTAGCAGCGAGAATATATGACTTTATTTAATTATTATCGATATTTATAATAGTTTTTATACAGTAAACTGATTAATAGAATATTTATGTAAAATATTTTAAAATATAAATAAACACAAAAATTATTTTTTGGTAAATTTTAGAGAAGACATAATATATATAAAGTACAAATTATACAAATTTATAGTTGAATAATTTTACAGGTATCATATACAATAATTTTTGTAACTTATTTATTGTAAAAATGTTTCAAATTTAAAACTGGTATTTTTTAATTGCATTTAAATTGTGTTATTTATTTTATAGATTTAAACAGGTCAAGAATTAAATTTTAGAAAAATAAATTAAGTGCGTATGTATACTTGTTTCTATGAACAGTTTTATTAATATTTTGATATACTTGATAAAAATAAAATACTTAAGTATCTTTTTATACTTCTATGAAAACATCTACTTAGATCTTCAAAGAGAGATATCGTGATTAATTTAAAATCATTTAAATTTAATAAATGAATACTAAAGTGAATTTGCATGCTGAAAAATATTTATTTCAGTTTTCATTGTTAAAATATTATGCATTGTAAAGCAATTTTACAAGTGTAGGCGTTTGGTTTTAATAGGTTGACCACTCCAAATTTTATTCTAATAGAAACATTGATCTTAATTTAAACTGAAAATCTAGGCAATAGTTGTAGTTAAATTTTTTTGTTACATTTATTATTTACCACCCATGCTATATTATAGGAGTAACATAAAAAAGTTATGCTGAGGAATANAATGTTTCAAATTTAAAACTGGTATTTTTTAATTGCATTTAAATTGTGTTATTTATTTTATAGATTTAAACAGGTCAAGAATTTAATTTTAGAAAAATAAATTAAGTGCGTATGTATACTTGTTTCTATGAACAATTTTATTAATATTTTGATATACTTGATAAAAATAAAATACTTAAGTATCTTTTTATACTTCTATGAAAACATCTACTTAGATCTTCAAAGAGAGATATCGTGATTAATTTAAAATCATTTAAATTTAATAAATGAATACTAAAGTGAATTTGCATGCTGAAAAATATTTATTTCAGTTTTCATTGTTAAAATATTATGCATTGTAAAGCAATTTTACAAGTGTAGGCGTTTGATTTTAATAGGTTGACCACTCCAAATTTTATTCTAATAGAAACATTGATCTTAATTTAAACTGAAAATCTAGGCAATAGTTGTAGTTAAATTTTTTTGTTACATTTATTATTTACCACCCATGCTATATTATAGGAGTAACATAAAAAATTTATGCTTAGGAATATTGCCGAATAAAATTTAATGTTTTATTCATAAAAAAGCCGTTAATTAAAAAAAAAAAAAAGACATTTAATTTATTCTGTTAAGAATAATTAATACTAATGTAATTATACTGTTATAAATGTATTTATTTTCTTTATGGCTGATCAACCTTATCATGTAATTTTAATGAGCTTAATAAGATCTCAATCATTATTTAATTTATACAAGTTTATCTAATTATAGTAAGTTATAATGAAAATATAGAATTTCTTTATAATTATCTAAACTAAGAGATATATGACAATCATTGGTATAGTTTTAATGAAATATATAAAGGCATGTCCCCGTTAAAAAAAATGCATTTAATCTAATATTATGAATCGTATAAAATTTAAGTTAAAATTTTAATTATCTAAAAAAAAGTCTTTAGTTATTTAGATTGCTTGTATAATTTCATTAATTAAAATTTTATACTTGGTTAAAAAAATAAAGATAGAAAATAGAAGATGTTAAACATTTTGGTCGATTCAATTCATAATTATAATTGAAATTACTGTGTGATTTTAATTATAAATGTAATTTACAAAATAGTTTCTTCAATGAAAATGAACATAACGCTCATTGGCAATAATTTCAACATAACTAAAAAAATAACGAATTTTATATGAGAAATTATATTCAATTTAGTCACAAATTAATTTTTTGTGGACTATTAGAGTAAACTTTTATAGAAAATTAATGAAAATTTTCGGATTTCTAATTCAGAGTATTTAATTAATATTAATGTAAGAATCAGATAAATTATTTTTTTTTTTTTAGCTTCTATGCGAAGCTGAGAATTTTAATTGTATTCTTGCCAATATTATTTGCTTATTTAAAATATTTGAATAAGTCCATAAAATTACGATTTATTCAATAAAAACAAATTATAGATGAGACATAGACATAGATACATATTAAACAAAAATTGTTGATTGATAATTTATGTATTTACACCTAATAGTTTACAGATTATAATCAAGGATACTTTCTTCTAATGTATCAAGAGGAAATAATTTAATTTGTACTCAAACACCGTTTTAACGGTGTTTGGATAGGTTCAAGGTTTAAAATTTGACTCAAGTGGTCTCATACTTTTTTTTTGTACTGTTAATATTCTGTTATAATGAATTAATTTAATATTTATTTGTCATTAACCTATATTTTTTAACGTTAAAAATAATTTATTTTTCTATATTTTTTTAAATATTATTGTTATTCTATATAATTTATTTATTTGATTCATAATCGTTTTAGACAGGTGGCCTGGTTATTTTGACTTGAATGACTTTTGAACCAGTAAAAATCATTTGCTATTTATTTTTTTTAATAATTAACATATCTATGAGTCTTAAAAATAATTTATTAAATATTGTTTTTCTAATTTAACAAAAATATACCAAATGATAAGTAAATACCTATTGTATCTATAAAAAAAAAGTTGTTTCTATTCATTTATTTTTCAAAAAATTATGGCAATTTAAAGTAAAAAAAGTTTAAACAATGTCGAAAATAACCGATTTTTAAAATTGAAATTTTTGTGGGATTTTCTCCATTTGTGGTGAACGAGGGTATATTTTTCAATTTTTGAGGGTAATGTATTCGTCTAGATACGATTTGTGATCTTTTGACATATTGTTAATCAAAATCGGTTCAGTGAGAGCTGATAATAAGTGACAACAGACAAAAAAAAAACATATCATAGTAAAATTAATGCCTTCTCAGCTTCGCATCGAAGTCAAAATTAACTTAGTAAAAATTTACAAGAAATCAAAAAAAAATTGTTAAAATAGTTATTTTTTTAAAGTAAATTTTTAAATATAATTTGGTATAATAAAATTTATATTAATGTTGTGAATTTACATTATCAATATCTTTGTAAAATTTAATTTATTTTTTTTGTTTTTTTTTTTTAACGGTATTGAATGCTAGTGTTTTTATTTGGACCTAGCAGAGTCGCATTGAAACATTGATCAGATCAGATAAAGCATTGGTATTTAATCTTTTACAATAGTGCAAACAATAAAAAAGAAATCTAATAAACGATTATTTTCTTTTAAAACAAAATTCAATGAAAGAAACTTACAAAATTAAAACCATTTAAATACAATTATAGTATTTTTTTAGTGGACAGTATCGTATTAGACTTGATTCATTTTTTTTTATTTTGACCGAGCTAATACGGCATAACATTTTACATATATATCCAGATAGGGCCGAATTTTTTTTTAGGCTCTTACTGATCTTTGCTAATTTTTTCATTAAATTAGAAAAACCATTTTCATTATGTTATTGTTAAAGCCTACATGTGTGATAACTATTTAAAAATATAATTAGCAAAAATATTTACTGGATTCTAAGTTAGTATAGTTGTCTGAATAATCTAAGCCATCTTTATATTCACAATTTTTATGAATTTCGTTAACAATAAATTATGTGATGAAATATACTTATAAAATATTATATGCATGAATATAAAAATTTTACTAGTAATTTTGTTCGAAAGCACGTGTCAATTCTTCCGATAACATTATTCATAATTTCACGTGTCATCTGAATCATAGGAAATAATTTAATGAATCACTCGAAACAGGTTCCAATAATCATTTTTTTGTCATCGGGTAATAAAGAATGATAATATTTAATCTGTATGCTCCCGATGATTTTAATGTGAGACGACGAAGAGAATTTTTAATCAGTTTATAGGGTATCAACGAATAAGTTATTATTCTTAAAACACACAAAGGAATGTGTCAATTATGATTTTTTTCGGGTACTTTTTTTACAAATATATTAAATTGATGGATTACTTTAAAAGGTTTTATTTTACAAACTGGTTCGTCTTTTAATTTAAAATATTATAATATATCAATTGGCTTAGATAAAAGTTAATAAGATTAAAAAAATAATACCAGTTCAATAAACCTAAAAACGTGTTGTTTTAATTATAATTTAGCAACTCGTCTTGGTCATATTTGGGAAAATGATAATTTACCATAAAATCATTCTAGTTGGCTTAGCGTAGTATATTAAATGAGAAATAATCAAGTATTAGATGTATGAATAATATACAAAGAAAAATGATTATGTCGCTACCCATATTAAAAAAAATTATTTACTATGTCATTTGCATTGATCCCAAATGAAACGCCAACATGAATCATAAGCGTTCAGTAGTTACTGGTTTCGAAAATCACATTTTTGACTGATTAATTTTTTTTACATTTGTTTACAACTACTACTTAACTCTCAATAAAAAATTATTGAGAATATTAAAAGAAACATTTTACCAATATTTTCCCGCTATTGAATATCAAATCTTATCTTGTTATGATTTCTTAATGGTACTTTTACGTATAGACAGGCGTAGACTTCCAAGTAAACCTTCGTTTTTAATTAATCATGGTAATAATTTATATACTCAGAACCACATATGTGTCTATAATGCGCTATAAACCGCTTATTTTTTTTTATTTTGCTAGTATTTTTTTTATAATGGCCTATGCTAAAATTGATTAAGGATGGCGATATATTGTGTGGTACAAAAGCTGGAGTACTACAAAACTATCTCTAAACAATCAGATAATAGATTTTTAGATACAGTATGTAAACAAACAGACGTGTGGTAGCTGTCATTGAACCTGTGCCATGGTTCGGCCTTGGCATCGGACATACGACAAAGTATTAAATAAGTCATCTTGAACAGTAATTTATTTTTTATCGTTTTAATCGTTCCATTCCTTTAGTAGTACATAATAATATATTATTCCGCACTCGTTTGGCCAATATCTTTTGTATTTATTCATATACGATTAAAATACGTATATTCCTACACGTTTTGTGTACAAATTCCACTCAAGTTCGATTTATATTACACGTACCTATACGCTCTAAGTAATTTTGCAAAAACTGGAAATAGTCAACAGAGATGTTTTATCCAAATTTATATTAACATTAATGATGTTGACATTTTTATAGAATTTTAAATTAATTTTTTTGAGGGTGCACTATTTATAAAAATAAGGTTAAAGTAAACATCATTTATTATGTGCATAATAATTCCTAGAAGCTGTTTTTGTGAGTATAAATTCCGTAGAAAATAATGAATTAATTAAATTGTACAGTGTCCAATTTTTAAAAGATAAAATCGAACCATTTAATAACTTTACGAAAGCAAATAAAACGTGTATTGAATTTTTTTGATTAATTTTTTATGAAAATAATTTTTTCTTCGACTAACTCTTGAAATAAATTGTTTTTCGATTATCACGAAAATTATTTTATTCATTACTTATAATTTTTACTAAACGTTAACTTAAAATATATCAGACCAAATTAATAGAGATGTTTTGTTTTTTGTAAATTGGCGTGTTTATAATCAGACGAATTAGTTTATCATTTTGGAATAAAAATAAATTATCTTCAGTATGTTTTAATTATAATTTTTATACTTTTTAGTTCAACGTTATTTTCAGATAATTATTTTAACAAATTTTCTTTAAAGTTACCGAATCAATTTTATGTGTTCACGTTAATAATATCATACATACTTGTTATAAGTAATGAAATCGTAGAATATAGCTATCTTCTTCTCACTCTTCCTTCTTATTTAGTTATTTTAAACTTACAGTAAAATTGTATTTTTGTTTTATCATAATAAAATCAATAACTGAATAATTTATTTAAAAATAATAATGCAATATACTAAATAAAACCAATTTCGAGCTTAGGCTAACATTAATAAAAATAAATTGATATTTTTGTAAAATACTGAAAATGTAACCCAAATATTTTATAATTAATGTAAGTCAGCATTATGTTATAAACTAAAATTTTTACACACTTTTTTATCATTTTTAGATAAGCGCATTATATTAATAGAATGCACTTATAACTAGTTACTAATTTAAATAGAAAATACTATTCCTTGCAAAAAACTCTTTACAGTATAATTATTGAGATATTAAATAATATATTCCAAGACACTTATCTGATTGAAATGTAAGTATTGTTAGTAACTTGTGTCTTAACAAAATGTATTCTCCGTTACGATTCAATGATTATTTATTATTATTTCTTTAAATCATAATATTCTATAATTATGGAATAGTTTTATTCAAATAAAAACTGAATCGGAATAGTGTTTTACAAATTACTCAATATCGTATGCTTACCTTCCAATATCACAGCGTCGTCGGTAGTTTCTTCTCTATACGCGTATTTCTGAAAAGCTACCGTGTAAGATAAGGCTAATAAAAAACGAAGTACTAATATAAGAGAATGCTTCATTTTAATAAATTAAAAGTAAACAGGGTGTTATAAATTTAAAATAAAATATCCGTGATCATGCGTTGCGTTCAAGTCATTCGGCAAACGTATTGCACACCAACCGGCTGTGGCCGGCAACCGATACTACTACTGACCGATGACCAGACACGCTCGCCATTTATTAAATCTTCTCGGTCTCATGAGATTGCGGTTTCTTCTTCTTATTTTGCTTCCCAGCTATCCGCATATTATTGACGACCAATGGTTCTCAATCAGACGTATGCTATTTAGTGCTAATTATACATAGACGTCTTATAATGACATACTATTATTTTTTATCGAACTTATCAAACCGGTCACGGAAATGTTTGTATCAAGACGGTGTTTCGTGAAAATATCATCGTTATTCTTCTAACGCTGAAACGACTTAACGTTAAAGTAGAACATTTCACCCCAAAAAATACTTATTTAATCTATGGGTTATGCATGAAATAATACCTTGGCAAAACTTGACATTGAACAGATGTGTTATCTATGTACTTTATTAACTATTTAATTAGTATTGATGGACTGAGTTAAATCATACAACAAAGGAAGTGAGATAGAAAGTGCTGTCCTAATTTTATTTCTTAATTAACTTGATTTCTTAGTTACAAGCACTAAACTATTATTAGGTAGAAAGTAAAATTGCTTACAGAATGTATACTTTGTGGTCGTTATTAATTTCTTATATTTATAGAATCGTGAACAGCTTTTATTGTATAATATTAAATTTACTATTAATAGAACTTTAAAGAGCTAAGTTTTATAACGAAATTAATAATAACATGTAAATCTAATTGTATTTTAACTGATAGTATATTAAGCACAAAAGTTTAAACAAATGTGTGCATAAATGTTGTAAAAAATATGTTAAAAATGTATTACAAATATAAAAAAAAATATTTAATTCTAACTCATTATTTATCATGTATTTTTTCAGAACAAATTAAAAAAATATCTCCTAGAATCGAATGGGTTTTATCGTCATTTAGTAGAGAAAGTCAAAATCTGAGATTTGTTCAAGGTAAATACTTGGATTTATCAAAAGTAACTACTAATATGTAAAAAAAACAACTGTAACATAATAAGTAATACAAATTTATTAATAATGGTAAAGTAAAAAAAATTTATAATTCATAATATTTACCATGATTCATTAATTCATATACCTCTGACAAATTTATGAAGTATTATATCATACTATCTAAGCCTCTTTGAAATTACTATATAGCAGTTTCAATCAGGTTTAGACGGTATACTTCATTTTGAAAGAACCTCTCAACGGTTTAGACGTAAGAAATCTTGAAGGATGTAATCTTGTCATTGTTTTAAGTATATTTTATTTAAAATGTGATTTGAGAATAGTAATATGATAACGTGTTTTTTTATTAAATTATGCATTTACATGAATGTTTTTAAAATAATTTTTTTTTTTTACTATTTATCATTATTTAAAAAATATGAAACATATATATAAATAAATTTGCATTCTAATAATTCTATTTCTGAATTATAATGGCGATTAAAAAATTATGTGATTCAACAAATCACATAATTTTTTAAATGGTCAGACCATCAACGAAATAAATAAAATTAGAAGTTTTTAAGAAATATAGCGCACAGTTCGTAAATAATTATAAAAACCTATAGGAAGAATCGGACTTTTTGTGGGTACATTTGCAAACAGTCGTAATCATTTTATTTCATAAATGTAATATTTTTAGTTACTAAAATAATTACTAAAAAATTTTATTTTCAAATTAGATTTTTCTCTATTAATTTATGTAGACAATTTTTTTCGATGTTCTTCGACTTAATTTTTGATAACCGGTCCGTGTTAAAAATTTGTTAAGTCAACGATGTGAAAAGATATTTATCAATATCTTGCTTATACGAAGAAAAATGTATGAAAAAATACTGATTTTCAAACTTAAATCATGATTTAATTAATTAAAATAAATAATTAAGAAAATACTGACACGTGCACATAATTAAAACTTAAAGTACATTAGATTCGAGTAACGTGGCGCTCTTAAGTAACTTATAGCAAAAGAACACCATAGATAAGATAAATCTCTTTTCTATGATAATACATAATTCTGTGAGAAATTAAGTAAAAGCATTATTTAATAAACGCATGGAAGACTGGGCCAATTGTATGTATTCTAACTTAGTTGATTTCATGACACTATTTTTTAGGCTACGATCATAAGAAGTTAATATAAATATTGTATGACAATATATTTATCATAACATAACTTTTTGCTTTAGAATAAATATTATAACAATTTTTAGTATACGAATAAATTTAAATTAAATAATATTTATAGTAAAATAAAATGTAAGAGATATCTGAAAATCATATACACTATTCTGTATAACATCATTATTATAATTGTAATTTCATAAAAAAGTAATAAAAGTTCTAACAACAAAATGTCAAAAATTATAAACCATTAACAATTAACAATTAAGGGTCGCTTAGGGCTAAGGGACTTAAGATTTTCTTTTCATTGAGGAGGGAGCATGGTTATTATTTAAAATGATAACAAATGATAATTCTAATAGATAATACCAATTTTCAACATGTTTTCGTAACTTCTATATTAGATCAACGACATTATCACTATAATTAATAACATAAGAAATATTAACAATAATTTGGAGCTATGTGTATAATATAATAACTTAAGCTGTCCCTATAATTTCATAAAAATATTGTAAGTTTGATATTAATATTTTTAACAATTGTCATTTTGTTTCTATTATTAAAAGACTTGATATCCACAGAAGAGATTTTTTCATGATTAATAAAACCTTTTATTGTTAAAATTTTTAAACAGGAATTATCATTAATATGTAATTACAGATATTATTGTTAAAATGAGTGTTTTTAGTCAAAAAGTATTAAATTTACTGAAATGTGTGTGTACCAATAAAGTCTATTATTGCAAATATCATAAAGGTATACCAAGAAAAATAATTGAGACTACTGTATTAAGTACAAAACATTTAACACCAGAAATAAAATTATACTTGATTACTGAAAAATGTAAATTATGGAACGCACCAAGTGATCAATGTGAGTTTGAAGATCCATTTTGGGCATTTTATTGGCCTGGTGGTCAAGCTATTTCTAGGTAAAAGTGATATTAATAATTAAAATTGTTTATATAAATTATCAAAATTCTTTAATGTGATTAGATTTATATTAGATAATCCAACTTATGTGAAAAAAAAAAGTGTCTTAGATGTTGGAAGTGGAAGTGGAGCTTGTTCAATTGCAGCTGCTAAAGCTGGTGCTAAAAACGTTACTGCTAATGATATAGATCCTGGTGATAGACACCTCGCTTATGTCATTAAAGAATTACCTATAATGAAATTATATTTTTCTAGTTGCATGCATTGCAGCCCAATTAAATGCTGAACTAAACAACACCAAAATTGAAATTTTAACCAAAAATATTTTATTTGCTGAAAGTTTAAATTGGGACGTTATCATAATTGGTGATATGTTTTATTCAGAAGAATTAGCTAATTTATTATGGGATTGGTTACTAAGACTAAGTGATAATCGACAAACTATATTAATTGGAGATCCAGGAAGATATTGTTTTAAACCTGATAATAAATTGTTAAAACGTTTAGTAAAACTAAAAGAATATAATTTAACTAAAAATAGTTGTTTAGAAAACAGAGGATTTTCTACTACATCTGTATGGACAATTAACTAAAATAAACTAGAACTTAAAATTAAAAAAAATATATTTTGTATATTACAATTAGTATTAATTATTACATAGTCATAATAAGTAAAAATAAAAAGTCTCAATTAAACTTTATTCTTTTGAATCTAATCTAATAACTGATAACTATTGAATTTTTCAACATCATAAAATCCAGCTTTTACTTGTCTGCCACCAAAAAATCTTCCATTCAAATCTACTACAGCTGCAAACAAGAATAAATTGTCAGTAATTTTTTAAAATTATAATAACAAAATAAGATAATTTTAAATACAATTTGGAATTATTATTTTGCCTTTACTCTTCTTTAAAGGAGCATTATAATTATAATAAATAAGTAAATACCTTTGATTGCTGATTCAATACGTTTAAATTCTACAAATATACGGACAGCTTCTTCAGGATCGACATCAGGTAATTCGTAGATAAGGACTTTATTAACATCGCCATACTTTGTATTACATTCATCTTTCACTTCAGGTTCAAGATCTTGGTCAACTTCTCCAGGCCCCACCATATTTCGCAATAATACAACCTATTTGAATTTGGAAAAGTTAATAATTAAATAACAGAAACAATTAGTTAATTTAGTGGAATTCACAAAATATTATTAAACACAAAAAAATAACTTTTTAGATTGAAAAAAACTTAAGAGAAGTTGATGAACTTTTAAACTTTACTTTTTATATTATTTCAATGGAGATTTTTATTAAACATTTAATTTAATAAAATTAAAATTGTCAAAGTCTTTAAAATGGAGAAATTTTTTAAGCTTTATTTTGATATTATATTTAAAAAAAATATGTTATAAAGTAACAAAAGTTAAGTATAGTGACTACTAAAAGTTTTAATTTTAAATGCTCAAATACATTATAAAAATACCTTACCTTTGATTGTACTTTCATTATTTCTGTGATACTTTGTAAAGGTTTTGGAGGTGGTGGTGCTGGAGCGACAAAATCATCTTGAATTAATGCAGACATAGGAGGTGATAAATTACCTCCTGGTTTTTCATGAATTATGCGACCTCCTCTCTTACTAGTTTTCTCTACTTGCAAGGCAACCGATATACCTTGCTCTTTTTTACCTAAACCTTGGCCTTCCTATAAAATATTATAAAATTAATATATATCCAACATATCAAAATCTTATCTTTAATAATTTGTATCTTATTAGTTGCATACTCTTATATTCAATGCAAGTCTACCATTGTAAATAATCAGTCAATATTTATAACTATCATAAAAAATAATTTGTGACCCACTAAAAAATGATTGCTGCCTTCAGTATTAATAATACTAAAAAATATTAAAATATATAAAAGTATCCCTCTATATTATTAATTACCTTGATATCTAAAGTAACAAATAATTATTGTAGAAAATTACCTTGAAACCATATTTAGCCATAATTTTTGCAGCAACTCCCATACCTACACCAATGCTAGGAGTTTGTGGACCAGGAGATGATATTATAGATTCTTGTAATGATGGTGGTGGTGCAATAGCAGCACCAGGAACTCTCGACACAGGTTTTGAATCTTCTTCATCACTATCACTATCTTTACGGCCTGCAAAACCTGTTTTTCTTCGTTCATCATTACTAGGAGTCATGTTAACAGAATCTATCATGTTAAATCTATAAGGAACAAAAATTATAGGGAAAACAAAACTTTAATAAATAGATAATTAGTTATATAAATTTAGTTGACTTATAAAGTATACATATATAAAACAATTTTAAAGGTTTTTCACTTTAATCTATATGGACAAGATAATTTAAAAATAAATATTGCACATACGAATCTCTATTTTTATTACGCTCTTCTCTTCTTTTACGTCGTTCTTCATCTTCCTTTTCTTTTTCTTTATCGCGCATATCTCTTAAATCTTTAATTTAGAATTAAATGCATTACATTAATTTTGTTGTTCAAGAAAAATTAGTAACTCTTTCTTAAATTATTGAAAATAAGTTAACTATACAAAGTACATAAAATGCAAGGGGTACAGGAAATTTTTTTTTTATTCAAATGTTACATCATGTTTTTACATTTGTAGATAGTTAAATTAAATTTTTAAATAAGATTTAAGTTTCCCTATAGCAAAATTTCTTTATTCTTTTTGAATGTGTTTTTGTACGTTAAATTAAAACAAATTATTTTCAGTCAAGCTACACTCTTGACTCAATTTTTTGAAAATTTCACATATATCCCATGTATTCTAAGTACCTTAATAAAATTACACAGAGTACAATATTTAAAATATTACCTCTTACAACTCTTTCATAATCATTAGGAATCATTGGATCATATTCAATTCCATCAAAGGGCCAGTCCATAGGAGGAAATGAAGGACGTTGTACTTTCTTTCCTTCCTAAATAACAAAAAATATATGTAGGATGGTTAAGAAATACGCAAAACTAGTTTTTCATTTTATTGGTCATGAGTTGAAAAAAATTACGTTGAAAATTTTCCCATTTAAAGTGTATGATTTTGTTTAATTTTATTATACATATATAGGATAGTCAACAATGGTTTGACAAATCTAATATCTTCTGATCCAGCAGATTAGGCATTAATTGTTAAAAGCATATTTATTATTATGTGTCTAATAAAAAATAAGATTTTTAATTTTTTCAAGATTTCAAAATAAAATTTAAATTTTTTTGCTTATAAAACATTTTGATGGGTCATACTATAAGATAGAATTACAAGCATTTTAATACATAGAGTAGGAAGGTATAAACTGTTCTTGTATATACTTATAATGTATTAGCAAAAAAGATAAATGTTTTTGTACTTCTAGCATTCCTGTAGGGCTTTTAATAAACTATTTTATATTACTACCATCAAAATTCTGAGCCATTTAATATTTAACAATAGTAATATTTACTTTTTGTCATTAAAGTATAACTCATTTGTCAATTCATCTTTATAAAATAATAATATTAATCTAAAAATAACTAAAAAATTTTATGGACAAATCATTATTTTTCCCAGTTTAAAAATATGTATACTTTAATACAGATATATTTAAACATTTTTTTTTTTAAGCATACCACTTTTCATGATTGCATTTATTATTAGCATAAAAGTTCGAATTAATTGTAGTATACATTTTTAATTATAAAACTAAAAATAAATTTTTCTTCGTGTCATATTTAACACAAAAACTACTATAAATTATTTAAATCTATGCTTAAAAGCATAGCATTGCTTTACCCTAGCAAGTGGGAAAATTGTAAATCCAAGTCCTGGATCAAACATAGGATCATCATCATCTTTTTTCTTTAAGTCAATAACAGGTGCTAAAACTGAAGTTGTTTTGCGTGCTGCTTCTCTTCTTGGCTAAAAAGTAAATAAATATTCTAATAAATTTTTAGTTTACTTAATATATAATACTGTTAATTATTAGATTAATATAATTAAAATACTGTATTTTTTTTGTGAATATTTTTAATATTTATTTGACACATACTACCACATAGAAGAACATGTGTAGGGAATTGTATACATAAAATAAACAAAAAATTCAAAAAAAATTATGCACTTGTTCTTACAAAAATAGTATAAATTGTTTCCAAAGTTTATGACACTATTTCATTAACTAATTATACTTACTTGGGTCTGGGCAGCTTTCTTCAATTGCATTTGTGATTGAAATAATTTCATGCCAGAAGACCATCCATCAGACTTCTGCTTTACAGCATCAAAATCATCATACAAAGACATCTTATAGATTTGATTTTAGATTTGATTTTAGAGTCTTCTAATAATTATAATTAAAATTAAATTTCTTATTTATAGTAGAATGCTAATAAATTATACATTAGAATTGATTAATCTAATTTATAAGTAATAGTCAATTGAAATTGATGTTTTCAAATATTTTAAGATTACAATTTGATTAGAAATGAAAGTGACAAAGACAATGACTGCATTGAAATTTTTAGTTTTTTTGTTTTAGTGAAGTTTTTTGTATTTTGTATTTATTATTTAAGGTTTTATCAGCATACGGTATTCCATTTATGTGTTATCAGCTAGAAATGTTGTGCAAAATCCATATTCGCTTTCAGTTGTTATCACATTCAAATAGATTTATTAATACAAAATATTATACGTAGCTATAGTTCGTGTATTTCAACCAACTAAACGAAATTTAGTAAAAAAATGTATTTATTAGTTTCTTGTCAATTGATTCAATATGTTAAATTTGTATTTAATATTCAAATTTAAATATTTACAGATAAAGCGCTGTTAAAGTTTTTATTTAAAAACAAGTTATTAATTTTTCTAGCAAAATATGGTTTGTTCATAGTAATATTTTCTTAAATTATTAAAATTTGTAGCTCAATAGGAGACAATATAGAGATCAAGAAAGTCATATATTAAAAACTAACTCAATGAGATATATTTGAAGAAACTTAATATGCTTTATTTAGTGGTAAACAATAAAGAGGAGGTTGAACATCTTTAAAATGATAAGAAAATGTCTTCTTGATTTATACTAATTAACGCCTATTTGTGCTACTAATAATAATTTTGTGTGACCTAAACATTATCTTAATTTATTTGATACTTTTAAGGACCCACTCATTGATGATACAATCCCATTTGGAGAGGAGAATAGTGGAACATCAGGAAATTTACCGTAAGTAATTTATGTAAAATTTTCACCATTATTCACTACTATTTAATTACAATTTGTTTTTTTAGCCACCCTTATGTATCATTCTTCCATTTATTCTTTCGTGTTTCTGCATTAGTGGTATATTTTTTTGGAGGAATTTTCAGTCAAAGTTTCATAACTCTATTTGTACTAATAATACTATTATTATCAATGGATTTTTGGACTGTGAAAAATATTACAGGTAAATATATATGTTACATTACTTTTACCATAGTTTTTTCATATTGTACAATATGAAGCTTGTGTGTTATTAATACTCATAAAAATTAATAATGATCTATATTTTCCATTTAATATGAATAAAATAATATTTCTACATTATTCATTGTGATTAATTTTTATATAAATAAATTGTGATTTATTTAGGACGTATTATGGTTGGATTAAGATGGTGGAATTATGTTGATGATGATGGTGTTTCTCATTGGGTTTTTGAGGCTAGAAAGGTGGGTTATAACTTTATTATAAATATTTCATAGTTCATGAAAAACTATTTAAAATAATTATTGCTAATATAATCAGAAAAATTATGAGTCCCTGTTTTTGTAGGGATCTGTACAGAATCGAATAAACCCAAGTGAATCGAGAATATTTTGGGCTGGGCTGTGGTCAGTTACAGCTATGTGGGTTTTATTTTTTATTATATCATTTTTTAGTATAAATTTCAAATGGCTGGTAAGATCTCTAATTTTAATTTATATAATGTGAAAGTATTTATTTATTGATATAATTTTTAGTTACTTGTGAGCATTGCATTGACATTGAATATTGCAAATTTATATGGTTACATCAAGTGTAAAAATGGAAATCAAGAAAATTTTGGTATATCATCTATGGCTAGTAATTTTATATTTCAAAATTTTGGAAAAGTATGATAATTATTTTCACTTAAATAATTTTTATCATAACAAAAATACTTTGATAATTTTTAACCTTATATTTTTAATATTTGTATGAAGTTTGCCTTTTTAAAATTTTTTTATTTTTATATCTATTTTTTAGATGAGAGAAACTATGTCAAGCTTAAATGGAATGTCTCCTGCCAACAATCAACCAAATGTTCGGCCAACTGGAATTGTATAAAATATTTTTAGTCTATTTTCAGTTATAAAATTATTTTTGTCAATTATTTAATGTTAAAATATATTTTAATTATAAATCAAATTATTTAATGATATTAAGGTTTCTCATTTTTTAATTCAGTTATCGACAGATATCATATTATTCATTATTATGGACATATATGTGTATATATTTTTACATTAAATTTTCTAAATAGAATATTTTGCCATTAGTCGAGAAAAAATGTTAAAATTAATCTAAGATATTAGTTTAGTTTTAGTTATTAAAAGGGTGGGTATAGACTCTGCCTATGAATTCAGATTAAGTTGTATATTGTACGCATCTCTTAACAAATTTTATGATTAAAATTAACTTATCATCACAGTGTAATATGTTAAGCTTTATGGAGCTTCACTAATTTCACTTTTATTACAGGCTTCTTTAGTTAGGTTCCTGCTTTTATAAGATAATTTTGAGTCTTCTAAGATTAGTCAGTAAAATTACCACTTGGTCTTATCATTCATGATCTAACACTTTTTGTTAGGTAATAATTGATCATAAAGTACTAATTTGGTTTATCATTAGATGTCTCATTCTCTCATTAAGTTTTAAATTATCCAACTGTCTTTTATGAAGCCTTTTTGTTTTCGTCTTCATTCTTACAAGTATTCCTTAATTGGATCCCAATTTCACAATATTATTCCTTGTGGTATATCCATTCTGTTTCTATGAATGATGAGTTTAGTACACTACAGCAAAGTTCAGTACTGTTGTAAGGATATATACTCTATGGTGTGCCATAAAAGTTCACAAAGTTCAACTACACCTTTCAATATACTATTCCTTTGACAAGTTTCTCTCACTTGATATGGTGGATTAGTAGGATCTATTTACTGTTTGTAAGCAGGATGTCCATGCCTACTAGTCACAAAAATTGGAAATTACTGGCTATATGATTAATGGTACATGTGTTCATGCCCTCTAATAGTTTTTACCATAACATTTTAAATAACTAAGTTCAATGACTATCACCAACCTATGTATGTTAACCTATATTGACATAATTTGAATAATAAATTGTTTAGTTATTATTAATTGGATAAGTATAAGATTAATGACATTTCAACTTTGCTAATAGCAAAAATATAACTAACTAACCTCCAAAAGAATAGATATGTCCACTTTATAATTTGAAAAATTAAGCTTCATAAAATGGTTATACATAAATAATATTATAAAAATATTTGAAGTAGATTATAGAATAACTTTACATAGATAATAAAAATTAACTGAAAAATTCTTAGGTGGATAAAAAATTCACATATATTATAGCTTTATTTTGAGGTTATTAAAATTTCAAAGCTTTGAAAACTTTTTTTATAAACTTTTTAAATAAAATAAATGTCTAAAAAGGAAAACTTTTATGCATACAATGATATTTTATTTTTTTTCGTATCGAACCATATAATCAAAGGCGTAAAGCATTTGAGTAAATGTATTTGAATAAAAGTATTCAAATACTTTCATTGGTATTGAATAGTATTTTTAAATACATTTAATAAAAAGTATCTGAGTAGTATTTTAAATACAATTATTTAGTATTTAATACTGTTTAATATTCAGTACTATTAATATATATTTTTTTTTTTAATTTGCTAACCGTAACACAGCAAGCAAATTAAACTCAGTCAAAATGAAAATTGAGAATAATTCTCTGTTATTTTATATGTTACATTATAGTATAACATAATTATTGTGCTTATCTAAATGCTATTATGTATACATCTATTTTTAATACATCAGTTGAACCTACAATTTTACCTAAATTGCAGGTTCAAATGATTTACTCTATTGTCAATAAGACATACATTACAGGTTTTTACACGTGTACTAATATTTATTTTTTTCACCGATTAGTCTCCAATAATTAATTTTATTTACCTCTAACAAAAAATATCGAAAATAATAAATGAGTTTTCTTAATTTAAGAGTACTCAATATGTGACTCAAATTACCCTCTTGGTAATTATTTAGGTGGAACCATTTGCTCTTAGATAAAATAAAAACATTATTATTTTTTTTTAATTGTATTCTTAGTATTTGAAATACTTTTGTAAAGTAATTGAGTATTACTCAAATACTTTTGTATGAAAAGTATTCAAATAGTATTTTAAATACATTTTTTTTTAAATATTTGAATATTATTTAAAATACTTTTTAAAAGTATTTTTTACAACTATGCATATAATATATTATAATAAATATACAAAAAATAAATTACTATTAATGCCAAATTACATTTCGATATGCACCAATTGACCTTCATTTATAAATATACTTCAAGTTTAAAGTGTATTTAAAATAAAATATAGATTTTCCAAAGAAAAATCTAAGAATTGTAACCTGTGATAATTACATAACGCATCTTTCCTTTTGACAATAAAGCCTTTTTCTAATGCAAATAAACTATAATTTTTGAAGACTACTTAATCCAATAATCTTTAGGAAGTTATTAACAATCACCTGTGGTATTAAACTAATTTTAACACATTTAAATAACTCTTAAACATATATTTTACGAGTTTTGAAAAGTGTTCTTATATTTAAGAATACAAAAAAAATGCAAAAATTTTCGTGGTCCAGGTGAGGCTCGAACTCACAACCCCGGCATTGCTCACGACTACTGTCTTATAAGTACCGTGCGCTAACCGATTGCGCCACTGGACCTGGTTGAAAATTGACGATTTTAGTCTATTTAAGAGTTGTATTGTTATTATAAAAATTATGTAAAACTATTTTAATTATTTATTTGTTAAAAATTAAACTGATTTTTAAACAAAACTCATTACTTAATTAAACTATAATATTTTAAAATGAATTAATTAATTCCAAGACCGAATTATATTTATTTGTGGTTCCGGGGACAAATTTTAATGAGCCCTAAAAAGTGTTTCTAGAAAAAACTGTATTCTTTTTCAAAAAATAATATTTTTTATTACAATTTAGAATAAAAATGAAGGTGATAAAAAAACAATAGAAATAGTATACCTTGAAGTTATTTTACTTTTTAAACCCATATTTTTTGCGGTATCAGCAAGAGACGTGGCTTTTCTTGTCTCCCCATTCATAAATCAAGCATGGTTAACACTTGTACAACATGTAAAATTATATTTACAGGAAAATACGATTTTACTTTCATATTGACTCTCTAGTAAAATAAAATATACGGTAATATAATTTTTTAACTAGTCTTCTTACAATTAAATATTATATTTTTAACTAAATATTAAATTTAAATGAAGTAATAGACAAAAAATTGTCGCCAAATTAGTAATAAATTAAAATATAATTGACCATACGATTTATAAGTCTGAAGTGTATTATGCAAATGTTCCTTCAAAATTAACAACTATTTCAGTATCATAAACATCAATTAATGAGACTTAAAGAACCTTAGCACTACCAAAATTACAAAAAATTCTGCATTGTAAAATCAAAATTATTTTTGGTAGAAAATCAGAAAGCTCTTCAAATATTTTGATGAACTTCATTTATGTTAGTGACGTATTCAGGATTCCATAATACAGGGGACATAGTAAATAATATACAATCAGCACTTTATTTTAGAGATAAATATTACTGATAATGAGGAGCTCATGACAAACAACCAATTTATGTCTAGCATAAATGATATTAAAAAATTCTAGTAATCAAATCAAATAATTTTACTATAAAGAGCTATTAAAAATTACGATTGGTTTTAAAATTTGATTTTTAATTAAATTTGTAAGTTCAGTATAAATAAAAAACTATTGCAACATTTGCCCTTATACAGGGTGTTCAGTAAGTCAGGAAACGGGTTTCTATTGTTCTCATTGTTTGTAACAATGAGAACAATAGAAACCCGTTTCCTGACTTACTGAACATCCTGTATAATAAGCAACGAATGACATAAACGGGTATTGTGGTATCAATCACTAATTAATCTCGGATGTGTCATATTTTTTATTGCTGCCTCTATTCTTATGATTAAGTTTTCTATAATTTCTTATTTTAATAACTATAATCAAAAAATTATATAAGGATTTTTTATAAGTATTTTTGTTTTTTATTTATCTCTAGTGGCGTTTGTAACTAATTATTTATGGAATATTATTCGGGTATTTGCGAGTATAATTTAATTTTAGTAGCACCTCCGGCGTTTTTGCTTCAGATGTATTTAAAATGTAGTCTTGAATTTAAACATTTGAAATATGCTATATAAAATTAATTTTTTTATTTTATAATTTGTTTTTAAAAATTGTATTAAAATGTACGAGGAAGGTTGAAATATATTTTTTAAAAGGAAAATGTTAAAATGAATAGCATATTTTTTTTTTCAAATTAATGTTCCTTTGTTATTATGAGCTAAATAATTCTCTAGTTTTAATCTTTACAAAACACCGTTTTACTACACAAAACTCACACTGTGTTACAGTATTTTAAAACGCAATTTTAACAAGAAAAAATTATTTCAAGTCAATATTTGTACTTTTGAGTAGAAAAAAGGTTGATAAACATCTTTTTGAGGTCATTAAATTCAAATATGATCATATTTTTTCAATATCTTCCCTGTTTAGGGTAGTCACACATTGTTCTAGAAAGTTATTTTGAGGAGGGCAAACTTATTTATTCATGAGATAACATTAATTTTTTGTTCTAAAAAAAATATGATTCAATTAAAAAATTCTAAGATGCAACTTGACGCAACCAAATTAAATATTGTCGCTAAGTGGACTAGTCAAATTAATAGAAAACACTTATTATAAACCTCTACTAATCTTTATTTTACTTTTTTTATTATGATTCAAAGCTCTACATTTTTTAATATTTACATAAATTTTTAATTTTACAAAAGTAAAGTTAAAGTAAAAAATTCAAGATATACATATTTTATGTATATCTATGGGGACAGAAGCTCTGATACTGCCATTCAATTACTCTCATGAAAATAGGTTTTTATTAATTTCACTTATTTTATCAATGATATAATTCTAAACATATTTAATATAGTTTCTAATTAACATTTTTTTCTCATTTTGCAAAACTCTAAAAGTAAATATGATATGGAATTTT